ATTATTGTTTTTTTATTTATTAATTTTGGTATTTAATTTTGTGAGGGGGGGGGGGGGGGGGGGCGGGGTGTACTCATAGTCGTGCATGCCGTAGTCGTTAGACCATTGACCTCGCATCCCTACAAAGCCGGGACGGAGCACGCCGGGTTCTCACCGGACCAGGCTCTCACATCACCAAGCGCGAAGCGCCGTGAGGTATTTGGCGAGTCGCATGAAGGGTGTTCGGCATCTTGTGCTTACTTCCTTGCGTACGGATGACAGCTGCGTATGACTTAATTTATTTTCTGGTGCTTTCACTTCCAGAGACAGTTGTAAGCACTGTGTTACTGCCTCGAGGATGCTTGACCATTTTCACACAACGTGGTGCGATCATCCCCCTTGCGCGGAGTGAGGGTTCTCCACCCCGCACAACATGATCTACTCGACCACCATTATGGTTACCGCCAAAAAAAAACAGAGCTAAAAAAAAAAACGGTAACAACCTGGTTGCCGAGTTCACGAAGTGAATTGGCTTGTTTTACAACGTCGTTGCCAAGAGACGAAAACCCAATCCCGGTGGCAAACACCGAGGGGGAGCTTGTTTTACAACGTCGTTGCCAAGCGACGAAAACCCAACCCCGATGGCAACCACCGAGGCGGGGGCTTGTTTTACAACGTCGTTGCCAAGCGACGAAAACCCAACCCCGATGGCAAACACCGGGCGGGGGGGGTGATACGTTGGGATGCAAACGCATCAGTAGATAGCATGATTATGGTGCATTGGCGGGGCCGATTCCTGTCTTCCTGCTATACTATGTTGATTGAAAGAGATCCTGTGAGGTTAACTGCTGTTGTAGTCTTCTAATGATTGATTTTGGTGGTCGATTTACTTGCTGCATTTACCGAACCTCGTCATTGCGGCTTTGATGTGACGTGGTCGACACAAAAGTTATATTTATGCAGTAGGTATTTGGCGTTAATCATGGTATCGCCCCGCTCTGCTGTCTGTAATCTTATTTTACGAAGTGCAGCCGCCTACAATACACGTCATATACGGGTGTGGCCGGTGAGCGTAAAATAGAAAAGTTAACTCCGAACGGCGTCTACTCCTATGGTGTTTCACCTCTCTCTCTAGACACCCACCACGTTATTATTGGCTGCCCGATTGGAGAAGACATAGTCCGCAAGCAAGCGCCAATAAAGTGAGAGGGTCCTCGTCAGCAGCGGTTATAGCTTGGAATCCGGGTGCACCCGTCCTGCCTGTTTCGCTACTACTGCAGTAGAAGATTGGATCTGGAAAGATATGTGCACCACGTCAGAGAGATTAGGCATGTGTGTACCCCAGTGCAAAAATAAGCGTGCTTTTTGGGGTGGGCTGCCTCTTTGTCTCCCTGCTGGTCTGTTTTTGTCTTGAGCGAGGCGCACCGGCGATCTTTCGGCACGCAAAGTGATGGAAGCTGAGAACGGACCTGAATCGGCCTGTAGTCACACAAGGGTTAGTCAACATTTACGCGGGGCTCGCTGTGCGTACTGTTGAAGGATATACTGCTCTAGTCGTTCCCTCTCAGAAGTAAAAATGAATCTCCCGTAAATTTAGCATCCAAAATTTAGAACGAATATTGCACTGCAACTACGGATCGCATCGGATGCTTTGGGATTTGTAAGCGCAAAGAGGCCACTTCCTGTTTTCGCTCCGAAGACTATGTAGTCAGCAGCTTTGAATACAAAACCGTGGAGACCATCGCACCCACCCGGCTGAAGGTTGAGGACATCGGGTCCAAGAACAGATCATTTACCGGTGGAAATCAACGTTGTGGACGGCGACAGAATCTGGTGCTTGTTCTCTGTCAACACGGGATGACATATCACATTAGGACATTAGGCGAGGACTCCTGACCGGTGCAGGAGACAAGAGGCAGGCCTCATCCATCCAACACTTGATACATCACATGATCCTCGGTTTTGGAGACAGAACCAAACAGCATTTCTTTCGATCGAAAACTCAACATGATGCCCTCCTCAACACATGCTGCACCATGCTTCCTTCTGCTCTCTTGCTCTCTAGCGACAGCTACCCTCCCGTACGTAGCTCATGGCGACTGCATTTACCACATTCACCCCCTCACAATCGCTGAAGAACGCATTTGGTCATTTTTGCAGCGGGTTTCACTGGCCAATGATCGGTGTTGCAAGGGCCCTCGACATGCACAATGTTCAGTGAACCTCCTTTAAGGCGAAACTTAACCTCCGTCGCAATGACTGCCACACATGCGGCGCCCCCTCTCTCGACTGACCTTCTGTGAAGTATTTTACGTACGTTTTCTTGGCGTATTCTCAGCAAATTCAGCCCAACGGCTTGCTCACGTTCCCATGCCCCCTAAAACTTGCGAAGAGAGTTATGCAGTGAATCTATTCGAATATACACACCATCACAGAAATATTACATTACCTTCCCGTCAAGTATTACTGCATTAATTTAGTACCACAGATGACCGCTGATAGATATCTATCTGCCGAAAGCATCACCGCGATCCTCCCCCCCAGCCCCCGGCCCCCACGATGTTCGTCTAGCACCGCTCACAATCATCTTGATACGTTCGAAAAAGGTCACGGACCAAATCAATCGGTCGGCTACGCTATCGTTAGCACCGTTGGTGACAGAGAGGCCGATGATTTTCTCCCGTCCTCCCATTAGCAGCCGGCCTTGGCTACCGCTACGTACGCCGGCGCTTTATAGAGGTCCGTGCTGTTTGCTCGGTGTGATCGTCAAGTCAGCACGTCGTTGCCGCCGCTTCCTCTAACCCCACCGCCAAAGCTCTCAAATGTGCTAGTGCAGACTGGTTGCCTCGCACCATCACCCATCACATGAAGGGAAGGCTCCCAAGATTTAACATTTCCAACAGCGAGAGCTCGTCTCCTCACGGTAGAACTGCCCATGGTTCGCCACCTCATTACACAAACACTAATCTACGAGTACGGCCGGTGCTGGCAGTTTACGGACTGAACAGGGCTGTAAGCCATGTCACTAGTCCCTCGCTGTCGTTCAGACCACCAACCTCGAGCACCGAATAGCAGCGAGATACAGCCTTGCCATGAGTACTATGCCGTAGTCTAGGTCTAGGACCGAAACTAGATGGCAGTGGCAACGTCCCCAAGGGAGAATCGATGCCATCGACAACAATTATGCGAGCCACCCGGGCAGTCGTCTTCTAAGGCACAGCTAGCAGCCACTGGCGATAGACAACCACCATGCTCGTGCGCACCAAGTGAAGAAACAAACAACAACAGCCACTTGTAAGTGACGTCACAGCACACCGTCCTTGTCGCAGGCACGGAACAACCAACCAACAGCGTGTATTGACAGCAATCAGTCGATCCAAACTAGTGTGGTTATGTACTACATAATATATGCATGGTATGCACTAGCCGACGCCAGGCCGTAACTCGACCCTGACAGCACATCGTTCCGGCGAAAAGCTCCACGCCCTCGCAGCGTTTTTTTCTTTCGATCCCACTACTGTCGGGACGGGTCTACAAGGGACAGCTTTCCGTGGACGGCGAACTCTCCAACGAGCTTGCCATCTTCAGCGGGGAGCTCCATCCCTCCCGCCAGCACCAGCCGGGCACGCTCTTCGTCAGGAAAGTACATCTTCGAGTAGAGCTCAAGGAGTTCAAGGCAGGGCGTGTCGCCGAAAACCTTAACCTTGAGAGGCTTTTTCTCTCCGTTGTTGTCGAGGGCTGCCTCGTTGTCTGACTTGTTGGCCGGGTACACGTGCACAAGCACGGCCCACCGCATGCGCAACTTATCATTGTTCTTCTCAATCCTATTGATAGGGCTGGTGGCTCCTCCTCCCTGGTCGACATCCTCGCCCCCTCCTCCTCCTCCTCCTCCTCCTCGTCCTTTGCCAATGGTAGCAACAGGGGGAATCTTGGCGCTCCGGCTTGCCGGGCCATCAGGGTGGTTGGCAATGGAGCAAGAAAGGAGGAAGGTCCCGCAAAGCGCCGCGTAGGAGATGCAGGTGTGGTAGTGGTTGGCTGTCGCACCCACGCTCTCCGGCAAGGTTTGCCTTTGCGCCATCCCCAAGAGGCGGATCCTGACCCGCCCGCCGAAACTCACGATCGGCCGGGGCAAGTTAAACTGCTGGCGCTGCGCAAGTAGGGGGGGCGGGGGGCGGGGGGGGCATTTATCTTGCTTGGGTGGCAAGATCAGTGTGCCGAACAAATCCAAGGTCCCTGCTCCCGAACCGAGTATAATTTCATACTGCTGTGGCGTTCCGAATGGAGCACTCGCGCTACTCTCTGTTGTTCTTTCGTGAGTCGGAAGCCGTCGCACTGCTGTGCAAACGTCTCATGGACGAGCCGGGATGCAAAAACCATGCTGCGTTCACTTGCATGGGGAACACAACAGTATTGGATGACTCCCCGAAATCAAGTCACACCAGCATGGCCGAATGCCGGGCTTGCCGTCCTCGAAATAGCACCCCTGTGAGAGAGCTGCAGTAGACTAACCTTCATGTGGGGGTCCACAAAGAAACGAGGGCTCTCGTAGTAAGGCGTCTTGCCCCCGTCGATTTGAGGGTGCATCAGCTGAAAGCAAGCCTCGATTGGGTTGTACGTGGGCTGTTCGGGCTGCCAGAAGGACGTGTACGGGGTCAGCATGAACGAGACAGCCACCGCAACCGTGTTCTCCTGCTGCGGGGGTTCAGCCGTGCAAAACATACGATCGTGGGGGCGGGCGCGGGTACGGGCCGGAAGGGGGGGGGGGCACTCAGTACCTTCATGCCCACGCAACAGCAGTGTATTGCCATGGGCGAACAGCATACTAGTCTTGTACGCCGCAGCAAGCCTCGGTACGCGTACAAACCCAGGACTGCGGGGTACGACGCCTTATTGCTGACCCGGTTCCAATGCTGCAGCCAGCCAGCCCAATCTCTGTGTAGCCTTTAAGGAGTTGCCAGTACGGTCGTACCACTCATCCTCTGAACCCGTATGATAGGATGAGCGGAGCAGGTATTCCGAACACAAAGCTTTTCTGCTAGTGTTCTCTGGGACTCACTGGCTTATCAGGGCCCTATCGAGGACCCCCGAAAGCCAGTACTAGGTTCTTCCAACTTAAAGTTCGAGTTACCGTCGCTTCCTTGATCAAGAAACGCGGTCACCAAGTTTCATTTTATGTGCTTCAACGGATGTACTTCGGTAGCTGCGTCAAATCTTACGGCAAATTGTCTCGGACAAATGTCAACTTGTAGGTCAAACAACGAGCGTAAAGCTAATGCTGTGGGTTATCACGCTTCTTTGCATGTACATGCCATGATAAATATGTTGCGAAACGTGTCGAGAGCGTTTGGTCAATGTACCTGATCTGCTTTGCAGGTCATCACGGATCAAACGAAGCCCATGTGACCCATCGATGACCCTAGAACCCCCTACAAGACGGGCAAAAAAACAAAGAAAGAGGCAATTCTACAAAATTCGGACCGCACCATGCTATCCAATGTGGAGCCAACAACAAGAAGGACTCACCATGTCGTAGTCAAGCCACTCTTCCTTGTCTGCAGTGGGTGAAGGCTCGCTAGACCAGTAGCACTTGTCGAGCCACACGCACCCACTGCAGAGAAAGAAGGAAAGCAAGCAAGAAAGAAATAATGAAAGAAAGACAGAGCGACGTACAGCAGTAGATCGCCCATCAAGAAAACAGCAGATACAATAGGTTAGCCCGCATGCGTGCGAGCAAAGCAACAAGTGTGACGTGTACAGTTCAGGCTCCAACACCAAAGCAAGTCAACATGGGTGGCGGGCACGGCTGAATGGGGGCAGCTGCAGACACGAATCGCGTGGCACCCTGCCCTGTCACGAAACAAAATCCTCAAGCACTCGGACGGGGGCCAAACTTTTGGTCACACTCCATCAATATCGACATGTGATGGGAAACACTGCTTCATGTTGCACAAACTCTCCTACGTGCCTTGTTTAACTCATCGAGTATCTTTCTTCCTTGACAGGAAACCAACGTATGTTATAGATGCCTCATTTCAGAAGAATGAAGGCGCAGACGGATCGCCAAAACCTATAGTGATGGCACTACCCTACCTTACTTGAGCGAGTGATCTCACCCCCTTACGACGCAAGACTGACTGTCCTAGGCCCAAAGGTTACCCCACAACCAACAGGGTGCAACACTGCCGGCACGAGTGGTTTTGGAAAGGACTCACGTCCTTTGCTCGGATCTATCGGTCGGCTTTCGATAGCATCCTCCCCATTGATGGTGGAGCAATCGAATCCATCGATCGATCGAGCTATGACAGTTGGTCTAGGGGGGGTGCCACTTCTCGAACGACTACGGTAACCCTTCAACATACTTAAATAAATATTCCTGGCGGCAACTTGTGTGTGATACTGCGGACTGTGAAGTGGCGTTTACCATATTGCGTCCCCAAAACCAAAAAAAAAAAAAAATACTCCCCCAACGCCGGAAACAAAACACACACAACACACAACGCACTACCAATTGGGTATTGGAGTTCCCCATCGACCAGGTCTGAGACCTGAGACCTACCAATCGCTCTGGCATCGCTTCCCGATCGAAGCCACCGCCTCTCGGGGCATCTTCCCACACCGCATATCCTCGAGCATCCTCGCACATCGCGACTCGAACAGCGTGTGAGACGGACCCTTTCCGACCAGAGGAGTCCATCACCAGCAAAAAAACGAGAAAGAGAGAGAGAGAGAGAGAGAACACAAACGTCAACCCAAAGGCGATTGATGGCCAGTATTGATGGCCAGCGTCTGAACAGCCACCGATGTTGCACAAACGCTGCTGCGCTGCGCCAAAAGGTACAAGAAAAGTCCATGTGCCCATGGCATCCTTCAGCCACTTCAGACTACCGAGGTCACCACTTGGAGGAAACAAACCAGAGAGTGTCCTGCTGACCAACATGTTGCAGTATCACAATGTTGTCGAGTACTCGCTGTCATCGCCTACATACCTCGTCGTTTCTGTCTTGGCTCGACGCGCCCACGGAAAAGCTCAGGAGCTGACGCGTCCACACGGATCGTTCGAATGCTTCCGTTCCCGGCAACCGCGAGTTGGTTTTCGACTCGCCTGGCAGCATCAGCACCTTTGCCATGTGGAACGCTAGAAATTCGTTCTTGCCAACGGACTGGATTCATCCATGAGACAGAGATCGGGACAGAGAGAGGGGGGGGGGGGGGGAGAGACGGAGAGAGAGAGAGATAGAAAGAGAGAGAGAGAGAGAGAGAGAGAGAGAGAGATAGTTTGACACGAACAAACAACGGAAGGCACCAGCAGTCAGTACAGCAGTCAGTACAAATAGATGCGTCGTATCGTATCTTAGGACCAAGAGATCCATCCCTACATGTATCCCTACCTCAACGGTGTGAAAGCGAGAGTGAAATGAGAAACGGATCACGTCACCACATTAAAAAAAAAAATGTTACAATTATGTGTGTTGCTTCGGTCCACTTGCCCAACCGGTCGCCGCTTCACCATACCAACAATTTTCAACAAAATCCAACGACGCCCCCTTCCGACAAGTTTCACGTCGAGAGAAAAAAACACCGGAAATACAGCAGTGTAGAGGCCATGTGTTGACGAAGGTAAACAGATTTCCCCGAAACAGGGGCAAGAGTGAGTAGGTGAGTGCATACATCCCGCGGAGCATGCATGCCGAAGGACAGGGGCGACCCCAGTGAAAGGAAGCAGCGCTAGGCCTCACGAAAGCATCGAAGGGCACCGGTCCCGATCAAAAAGAACAAGGAATATTTGTGTTTGTAAGAGGATCACTGAGATATCGTTGTATGCAGCTTGGATTAGGGAATCGTACAACTACAGGTATGCTCCGGTAACGCCATGAATTCATTACTATTTTATCCTACATGTAGACCTTCTTCCATGGATAGAGATAGATTTGTTGTGTTAAACTTGTACTAAGAAAAAAAACTACACAGTCGTTGGAATACGATGGAAACTAAATAATCAGACGATGTGAACGTACCTCGATGTAGTCGACGTGACGGCCGAACGTGCCGCAACAACGCTCCCGCCAGAACTCGGGCGAGTCGAGAGCGCTCGTGTTCATCTCCTTGTTCGTCCCGATCAACTGCGCCATGTCGGCCACCGTCAAGTACAGCACCACCGTGCCCAGCGGACCCAGCGGAAGCGTTGAAAACGTTGCTGTTGGCGCCATTCTCACGATCGTGGTGGTGGTGGTGGCATCAACGGCAGACGTAGCGCCAACCGCAGCAGCAGCGACAGTTTCGATTGCACCAACGGAGGAGGTAGTGGTGGTAGCAGCAGCAGCGTCGGGGGTAGACATCCTGTGGGCGAAGAACAACCGAGGGAGGGGAGAAAGTGTTTGCAAGGCTGGTCAAGCTGCTCTTCTTCTAGAGCCCATGCTCTAGACAGTCCTCGTTGCGGAAAAGCCGAGCTGCCTCGCGTTCAATATCATGTGTAGACTACTATGCGTACGGTAAACAACAGCAGCATCTCGTTCTTCGAGGACGGAATGTACATGGGGTTACACATTCCACATCACAGTCAAGTCGTGGTCCCCGTTTAGCGGTTCCCTGTTTAGCGGGATGCCCTGAATAGCGGTTTGTGGGCATGTTTTCAGCCGCCAATAGCGGTTATCGGTTCAAATGTTGCGGAGACCCCGTGCGCGCTTCGCTTGCACACACTCACAGCACACAACGACGTTGGTCAGCCGGTTAGCGTGGTTGATGTTAAATAAAACCACACAGCAAGACACACATACACACCATGCGGTGAGCGGATGGACAACTACTGTGCAAGCTTCCAGATACGGCACGGAAGTCCAAGAGGCGCGCACGATTGTAAAGGTGTGGCTGTGGTGGCCGTATGCACGGCATGTGCGGAGAGGCGGAGAATCCAGATGGCAACGAGATGCACCGCATTTGCCACCAGTGTGCACTCAAAGAAGGCGCAGAGTTCCTCTTGCGTCTCAAGTCCACCCACGCGCAAAGAGGTGCAAGGTGGCTTTCTAGCTACAGGCGCGGGGAAACAACCAACTCACGCTGCAGCTACATAACAGCCCCGCACGCGACTCAACGTTGGCCAGATACTTGAGGTTTTGGAGATTCTTGACCAGAAGGTAGCGCACTCAGAAATAGCGCGCAGGAAGAGATCGCCCAAGCTTTGCAGGAAGGACGCGAATGACGAGCTCGTTGAGAAGTTGTCCGTATGTTCACGGAGGGGCCTAACTCCTCCTTCGACGAGCTAGAGCTAGAGCTAGATAGCACTGCAGAAGTTGACGGTGTGAACGGCAGGGGGGTGACGGCACCACCGCCATACTCGGAGCCATCGTCGGATTTTGGCCACCTTGAAGAGTGCACGGAGTCGTGTGGCGTGAGCGAGGCAGCACACTATCTTCGCAAGGCAAAAATGGCTTTCCTGGCAATGCACGCCGCTCGACCAGCCCGCAAGGCAGATATCAGAGATACATTCGCTTAACCGTGGTCGATACACGCGGCAAATAGCAGAAATGAGATGCTTCAAGCACGTGGTTAGTTGCCATTGCCTTGTCACGAATTTGCCCCACGTTATAGACGTCCAGTCTTCAAGAGGGGCATACAGTACAGAAGGGAGAACAAGCTTTGTGCTTTCGTGAATTGAAATGCACTGTATGATATTAATAGTGTACCGAACCGTACAAGGTTGCCCAGTCAACGCCCGGTCCGGAGTCATCGCACAGGGGTGCAATGCAAATTAGTGGCTAAATGATTTAATTCGATTTTCGCACAGGGTCCGGAGTCATCGCACAGGGGTGCGATGCACAACAAAATATATATATGGGGGAGTTTGATTTAATTAATTGTTTTTGGGTTTGGGGAGTACATACGGGGGCAGGATCAATTATTTCGGACGCAAGCGCCTTGAGGTCGTCGCTCTTTGGTCATGTGCAAAAATCGCCAAAGTCAGGGGAATCGTACTCAAGGCGGGTAAGCTCACGGACAGAAGTCTGTCCCCTAGCACACACGCGCCCCACACTTCGATACAACTTATGGTGAAAAACTCCTTTCTCAACAGCAAAAAAACAACGAATAGCCTTGGTCCCAGGTGTCAGTCAGTGCAGCCCGGCTTCTGTATGAGCGAAATCGTTTACGGAGGAACAGTTCTTCTACGAATCCTCTCACACTTGCCACTGCTCTGGCATATTTAATTAATCCATACAATCTCAAGTAATTAAGCAATTTTCGGTTTTTAGGAGACGATATGGCGAAAGTGTTTTAAAAATGACCGCATTGCCCGGGGGTGCGATGACTCGCAACCCTGCGGTATTTGCTGTTGTCCTCCTTACGCACGGAGGTTACGTCTTCATCCGGACCTTCGTATGACTGCTGCAACGAGAACATGCATGGCCCTGTTGGGCACAAATGGGCTTTTTCCCGGTTTAGCGGTTCATAACCGCTACATACATACAAGAGGTTTAGCCGTGATGCCCTGAATACGTACAATACACAATTTTTTCGTGACACTATTTAGGACCGCTAAACTGGGCCTACGACTACGACTACGACGTACGCGTGTTTTCGAAACAAGCAAATGGTAAATGAGGTCTTAAAAATCGGCTCCACTTCTTCAAACATCAGGCTTGCAATGGGGCAGAGAGAAGGCGAAACAACACGATGAAGCCGGGTCTGCTGAACTATTGAAACAGTTGAAAATGAAAAGCGGGAGTCGGCTTTTCCCTCGTTATTTAGGCGTTGTAGTCCTGTACTGTCAGTTACTGCTGCTGTTATGATTTACAAACGTTATTCCTGCTGTGACCGGTGCAAATGCAGCAGAAAAAAAACTCGAGTGTGTGCGCAAGTAGTTTGAGTACACAGTAGTGTAGCACGGGGGCACGGGTAGGAATGCACTACTATACAGCAGTACGTAGACACACGGCCGTGCGTGATCCCGTAGATAATGCTGCCACTAGTGACTGCTGTGCGTCCCAGCTGCACCCGAGCCGAGACCAGAGAAGCAGCTGCGGCCCGCAGGCGTGCTCTTGGAGGACCTCTTGCCCCCCCTTTCTCTACAGACAGTACCGCTTTCGTGTTTTAAACCCAGCATACCTGGGGCGAGTTAGTTGAGTGTAGCTGGTCGTCGTCGTGAGAGAATCCCGATGGCTTACAAGATCTGATGTCTGGCAGAAGTTGGTCACACGCTAGCGAGTGTGTCCGCACCAAAGCAGCGCGGGGGGTCACGACAGACATCGTGACCTAGTTATTACCCACCCCGTCTCTGCTGTCCATCTACTGTACCCCCACTTCGGAGAGCAAGACAACCAAGAACCTGTCATAACTTAGCTGGCTAGTATCCACGATGACCGGAAGAGGACGAGGGGGGAGGTTCGGGGGTTGGGGTGGGAACTCCCGTGGCAAGAGTGGGGCCAGCGGTCGTGGCGGTGGCGATGCTGCTGCGCTAGCACGAGTACTCAACACGGCGGACTGCTGTGCGTGTGTATCGAACGCCCCTCTCCTGGTTGAGCTCAAGAACCTCGATGAGGAGTGCTTGAGGACCGGCAAGGTGAAGCTCAGGTACGTCCTTCCGTTGCACCGACACACTTAGGAAGCTGGTGCTGTGTGGGGTAGATTGCTGGTCTTTCGGAGGTTCAGATTGTGGTTTGCACAACGTGTTCGTTTTCCCGTCTGACTGCTGTTGCTGTACGGGAAAACCGCCGTTGGTCCATTTCTAGAACAGAAGGTGAACTGGCATGTACACATGAACACCGCAGGCCAGCGGCCACAAGGTGTGCTATGCGAATGCTGTTCCTGTGTGTATTTGTGCTGCAACAGAGACAACTTGGTCTTGAAGCCCCCACGCCATGCTGACCACATCGGTTGTTCCATTATACACAGAACCCGATAGGCTGCTGTAGTGTGTGAATCACGATCGTCGTGATTGTCTCCATGAGTTCAACGCGACAAAGCCTGCCCTCGCTGTCGAACTGACGGGTACCTTACAAATGGTGGAACGGAACGGTTTCCCTGGCCTGGGGAAGTAGAGCAAAGCCCCTGTGGTTTCGGCGCGCCGTTTGAGATGGTATTGATGGCAACTTTTTTCGCGCAAATTTAAATTGCAAATAAATTTGCAAATTTGCCCACATGTCCACGGCGGTGCCTCTGTCGGCGAAATGCGAAAATACCACGTACATGCGGGGAACTGCTACGTGTACCATGCATTACCGAAAGGTTTTACAAGAAGTATGTTGTTAGCGCTTCGTTTTTCCGCCCGCTTAACGAAATCGAGCTATTCCAAGGCGAAGGTCATTGCTGATCTGCTGGCCGTGTGTACGTGTGAAAGACAGAGAGGCAGACAAATACACACCAAGCTGCGCTATCGGGGCTCGAGATATGTATGGTAGCAGTTCAGAGGTCGAGAATCAAGGAGGATGAAGGAAGGAGTTCTTCGTTCTCCGTGCCAACACCCAACACAATCAAATAGAGATATTATGTTTGGTTTGTCGGCGCGTATAGTTCGTTTGTCACGCTCGCTGGCTCTTGTCGAGAGCGTTTCTGCACAAAGGAGTGACTCAAGTTCCTTGTGTTGATACGGGGAGAGAGACGCGGGCAAGGCACAGAGCCTCGCGCGTGAAGTCCATCACACTCAAAACATCCAATCCACGTAGCCCCCGGAGATCTCGGAGATCCGTGTTGTGCCGAGTACACACAAGCAGTAGTATAACATTTTCCAAAAAGCGAGAGGAGGCAGTGCGGCGTGGCGAGTTTTCGAGAAAATATATATGAATCTGAATTCCGGAAAGAAACGATGTTCTCGCAGAGCTAGCTCGAGCGAAGGACTGCGACTACGGTAGCTGAGAGGCCGAGAAAGGATAGAGGCTTGCTGGACGGAGAGCGGGAAAAGAGAGCACAAGAAGCTTGCGCACTGTACTTTTCCTTTGCGCGTAAGGTATTGCTGCCCGACGTACAGAGCTTCAAACGAGACTCGTTGGCGGTGACACCCAACCCTCTCTTACGACGTGTCGATTCGCTTGCTTACGCATTCTCTGCAGGCACGGGCTGATGCGGGCCATGAAGTCCCTGAAGCGTTACCCCCTCCCGATCACCACAGAGAAGGAGGCGTGCGCGCTGGAAGGGGTAGGGAGCTTCACCGCCCGCCGAATGCTGCGTGGCTTGCCGCCGGCCGGACCGGAACCCGACAACAGCAGTGGTGTCCGTAGGACCGACGAAGAAAATATCGAACCCTCCGGCAGCTCGTCTTCCCGGGGAGGAGGAGGAGGAGGAGGAGGAGGAGCTAGAAAATCCAGCAACAACAGTACCGGAACCTCGTCTGTGACGAATACTGGTGCTGGTAGCCGTCTTGCCTCCCACACCAACTGCCGCTCGCTGCTCCGCATGAACCTCCGCGTGGGCAGCAGCGCAACGACAACCACCGGCGGTCGGCCCCTGTCGCTGGTTTCCAATTTCGCCGCGCTTCGCGGTGGCGGCGGACAGACAACGCCTGACGTTACGCCGAAGCGACTGACCTCGCGCGCGAGGAGGGAGGAGGAGGGTGGCGAGACCTTGCGCTCGTCGAAGGCGCCCAGTTTTTTCATCGGGCAGTGGGAGGCGTGGCTTATCGTTGACAACCGCGAGCACGAGTTCATGTCTGTGCAGGTACGGGTAGGGGAGGGGGGGGCGGGGGGGGGGGGGCGTACTCTTATGTTTTGCATGACTTAGCGGTTAGACCATTGACCACGCATCCTCGAGAGGACGGAGGATTGTTCCTGTCTCAACTTTTCTTTTGGGGTAGAGTAGACCTTTTGACGCGGTTCTATTATTGTGCTCAGGTAAATGTAAACATCTTGTACTCCGCTGCTGTCTCCTCTGCCAAGGGTGGGAACGAACACCCGCAAAATGATCGAAACCTGATTGTCCCGCTTTGTCTGCCACGTCGACCTCAGTCTTCGCTTCTGCAGAAGGGGATACGCTGCGAAACCAGACAGCTACCGCTCGGAGACATGCTCTGGATAGCTAGAAGGGGGGACGACCCGACGTCGGAGGTGCTGCTGGGTTACATCGTGGAGCGGAAAACGGCCTCGGATCTGGCCAGCAGCATCATCGATGGCCGGTAAGCCAAGACTTCGTTGCGTCCACCCTTGTCTCCTCCCAACGTTTGGCTGTTTTGATGCACGAGTGTGTTTTTGTATGTGTTTTATGGGTGTACAGCAGTATACTCTTTTGTGTACTTGTTTTTTTTTTACAGGTAGTTTTACTGATTCGCGGTTTTCGTGACCCGCTTGATTGTGGCAGTTTGTAGTTTTTATTTTAGTTCTCAGGGCGAGGGGTGCGTGTGACTATTGCATCGTTGCAGAACATGGACGACTTCTGGACCCCGATACCGACCCCCCCCCCCCCCCCCTAGCTTTGCTATGTCGCCCTCTACACTTGTGAACACACAGAGCTCCTACAGCTCATAAATAACCCAGTCTACACTCATCAACACGCGCATCTCCTTTGCGTGGTAACCAATGATAGGGCATCCTTGTGTTCCCCGCCCCGCCCGATGTACTCTTGGCCGAAAGGATTATGATCCACGTGCTTTTGCACACCGATACTCTTCTCTTTCTGTATTTCCCCCCATCCCACCCGTAACCGCCCTACATGTCTACATGTACATATGCTTGCTCTTGGCCTGCCGACTCTGCCCCTCCCCCTCCCTTACGCCTTCTCTCTCTCTCGTTCTCTCGCTCTTTTCTTTGGGGGTGGGGTGAATCGTATCCATTCCATCCTGCGTCCGCCTGTCGGATCAGCTACGAAGAGCAGAAGCGGCGCCTCAAGCTGAGCGGCCTCCGGCGGCGCATCTACCTGGTGGAAGGGAACCTGAACCACCAGGAGCAGCTCGCCCCGGCCGCCCTTAGGACAGCCCTGGTCTCGTCGCAGGCCTGCGGGGGCCTTGCCGTGGTGCAGTGCGACAGCCTGCGCGGCACCGTAGACTTTCTCGCGCGGACTCACCGACATATCGCGTCCCTCCTAGAACAATCCTGCCGACGCGGGGCAGGGCTTTGGCCCGTCGGGGGGTCCCGCGAGTGCTCGGGGGCGGGGGCGATGCTGAGGCCGGCGATGACCTACGGGGAGTACGCCCAGGGCTGCGCGAAGCGTGCGGGATCCACGACCGTGAGGCAGGTGCTGGGAGCCATGGTGCGGCAGGCTCCCGGGTGCAGCGCGGCGAGGGCGGAGGCTATCGTCCGAGCCTTCGATTCGCCGCTGGGGCTGATGCTGGCCCTCGAGCGCGCGGCTAACGGGGACGGTCTAGCTGACGATGATGCCGCCAGGATGAAGAGGGCGGATGCCTTGTTAGGCGGTTTGTTGTGCAGCGGAGGGGCCGGCACGAACAAGCTCCCGCAGCCGTTACGACGATTGCTTTGCCGGTTGTTCCTCGGGGATAGCATAGACGGCGAGGGGGCGGGGGCAAGCGCTGGTGGTGTGGGGGCGGCGGGGCCGCCAAGAGCAGCGGATGGTTGCGGTCGTCGGGGGCACAGCAGGGCCGACTTGTTGGGGGGGGGTCCCTACTGTGTTGATGGCTGGGATGTAGAGCCCATGAATCAAGATGACCCGTATTAGATACTATGATAGGGAGCGCGTGGAGTTGTGCGTCATTTTCGGTCATCCAGTCATCCCGTGTATATTACCCGATGCACGGCACTCACTTTGCTCAGATGCCTGACATGTATTTACTCGTGTGCCTATGCATGCATACCTTTACCTTTCCACGACGGTTTTCTGACGGTGTGGTGGTATGTGTACGTGCTGTGTCCTGCTCTAGATGTAAGCCCATCGCAAAAATCGCTCTAGGCTTCTGCGAAGTATTCAGAAAGCATGCTTCCCGCAAGCACTCCGCGGCTTCATGATAGGATTGGGCACGTCGGCAATACAACGAAAAGTGTTGTGCCTAGAGGAAGTGGTGGGAACATCAGCGAGAAGTACGCAGCAGTCATGTGTTGAGCTCAACGCCACCCACCTGTCCAGTTAGATTCATTGTTCCCTTGTTTTCCACCTGTGGTGTGCTGGAGCGCGTCGTTGCCTCGACCCCTTTGGGGGTACTGCACGCGTAGCCAAACAGACCCGTGTTCGCGCACGAAAGGGCTAAAGACCCGACAATATCCCCTCCTGTGTGACCCTCTTTGACCACGCCTCGAGCTTCCTGCCAGGGGTTCCCTTCCATACGGCTATCGAGGGTACTCTTGATTCTAAGATTAGAGAGACAAGGAACCAAGGTGGTCTCGATTCATCCTATCCTACTCTTATGCTTTCACGCGGCACTGCTGTTGTGTGAAGATATCCAACAACAGCAAGCGTTCCTCGTCTCCTGTGTTCTACAGGGAATAGAGAGTACCCGTTGGAAAAAAGCGAGTACACAGGGTACAAATATATCTTGAGAGAGATCAGTGTACCGGAGATCTCCCCGACATCCACTTCTTGTTTCACTTCTTGTTGACCCTTTGTGGGGGAAAATTGATCGGGGCTTAAATTCCCAGCCAGGCTGACACCTGCTTTTCGTACAGTGCAGATGAAGCACGAAGCACGCTAGGCCATACTCTGGTTGGGTTAGTGTCACTCCTGCTACCGCCATATGCCGCCGTCATACTTCCAAAAACACCTCGCCCATTAAGCTTCCTACTCCGCCAGTGCCGCCTGGTCGCGTCTCGTATGGATACATTTGTCTGTGTTACACGCGACCCGTGACAAAAGCGAAAGTGTGATTGGAACAACGTCACGCCCGTTACTGGAAGAAACGAAGAAATGCAACCCTAAAACAAACCAAACCAACACACAACCAACACTGGACCGGCTAAAACAAAAAAATAAGATAGGATCCAAACACAAACAAGACAAACTATAATAGGTCAGTTTCCCGGCTGCACGAAGCAAGCGGGCTCTGACGAACATCCAACAACGCCAACACGCCAGGCTGGTCTCGATTTCTCGCCCCCCTCCCCCCCCTCCCCTGTGCCTACCGTCCCACGGGGACAAGGCATGAACCAGTGATCCCCCGCGCTAGCCTCGCCTACGGAGTAGGCACTAGATAGCCCCAGCATTTCCGTGATTGCGTGTGGCTCCCACCAAGTCGGATCCCACGGTGTCGGTCGTTTGGTTCGTAGCGTCACACGCAGCGCTCACCCCCGTGCCCTCTGCAAGCTAGACGGTTCATGGCAGATGAAGCCGCTTCTCTTGCTTCTTCACGCGGTCTTCTTGGTGTAGCGCACGGTGCACTTGCCCTTGGGGCCCACGACCATCGCGTTGAAATCGGCAGGGGGAAGCTCTCCGACCATCTCGATCTTGTACTCTCGCAGAAGCACAGACAAGATCGTCTTCACCTGAGGGAACCAAAGAAAAGAAACTGACGCTTAAGCCAAGAAAAAACACATCAATAAAAAAACGTGACAACTCAACGTTTGAAGAGTAGCCGTGACGCCCGAAGTAGAGGACTCCAACAACGAAACAATGATGAGGGCACTGCCGCCACGCGTGTAAACCACACCGCCAGCAAACAAATCGTACGTACCATGTGCGTCAACGTGCATACATGCCTCAATGGACTGCCCATGGTCGAGGTACGTACGGCTGCCCTGCCCTCCCCCCCTCCCCCCCCGGTGTTTGCCATCGGGTTTGGGTTTTCGTCGCTTGGCAACGACGTTGTAAAACAAGCCGCCCCCCGCGGTGTTTGCCATCGGGGTTGGGTTTTCGTCGCTTGGCAACGACGTTGTAAAACAAGCCGCCCCCCCCGGTGTTTGCCATCGGGATTGGGTTTTCGTCGCTTGGCAACGACGTTGTAAAAGAAGCCAATTCACTTCGTGAACTCGGCAACCAGGTTACCGCTTTTTTTTACCTCTGTTTTTGTTTTGGCGGTTACCATAATGGTGGTCGAGTAGATCATGTTGTGCGGGGTGGAGAAACCTCACTCCGCGCAAGGGGGATGATCGCACCACGTTGTGTTAAATTGGTCAAGCATCCTCAAGGCAGCTACACAGTGCTTATAGCTGTCTCTGGAAGTGAAAGCACCAGAAAATAAATTAAGTCATACGCAGCTGTCATCCGTACGCAAGGAAGTAAGCACAAGATGCTGAACACCCTTAGCAGGATGCAGCTCACCCTTCATGCGACTCGCCGATTACCTCACGGTGCTTCGCGCTTGCTGATGTGAGAGCCTGGTCCGGTGAGAACCCGACCTCTCCGTCCCGGCTTTGTAGGGATGCGAGGTCAATGGCCTAACGACTACGGCATGCACGACTATGAGTACACCCCCCCCCTCCCAAGTGGCCACACCCTCGCTCCCTCCGAGACACCCTACTGGTATAAATGAACAGCTGTTCCTTGTGAAATATCGAAATATCAACCGAAAGCCTGACGAAACGGGCCTTTCAACAGCACAGTCCAACGGCGATCTGCTGCTCCACCTGCAATGTCCACACGTCACTCGCCTCAACGAACAAACATTGGTTCGTCAACACGAGGTGGCCAACAGCTCATCTAAGCCTCTCCTATGGTACATATCCCGACCGCCTCCTGGAAAACACACCAACACGTTAACGATAACGTTTAACACACCTGCACGAAAGCGAACTGCTGCCCCATGCACTGGTGCATTCCTGCGCCGAAGCCGAGGTATGCGAAGGGCTGCTTGTGCTCCTGTCTCTCAGGACCGAACCGGTCAGGGTCGAACTGTCGCCATCATCCACAGGATTCAATCATCGACGGCATCATCGACAGAATCAGGTGTCACAACAGACGGTCAGATTCAGATTCACGAAAACGATTAGCACAGCAAGCAAACAAGCCAGAGTGTGAAAAATGACGATTCAACAAATTCACGCGAACCAGCCGCTTCCGGAGGTCGCGCCACATCACTGCTTAGCTTACCGCACCAAGATACTTGTCGTCAAATCTTGGTCGGTTCCTCGTTACACTACACATGTCCAGCAGTTTTGTGCCCTCCTATCTCTCATATCAACATTGCAAAAAACGACGCGGGGGCATTCCAACACCTCCTCCCTCTTCGACTCTAGTCTTGGCGTAGTCGGAGAATGTACTGTCGCAAAAAACAATATCTCGGTAAATAAAAGGGTGCTTTCGTTGTAACTGCTTGCTGCAAGTATGGTACCAAAGAGAATGGATTAGTTTTCTCACCTCGTCGGGGTTCTTGAAGACGGTGGGCAGGCGCATTGCCACGTGCGGGGAGGTGCCAACGAAGTGTCCCTTGGGAACGGTGAAGCTCTGTCCCTTCGAGGTCACCGTGAAGTCCTTCTTCGCCATACGCAACAAGAGGATCTGTCATATCATGTCATATAGTACATGTATGCATACCAGTATGCAATAGCGGTTGCCACAAGTACAACAAGCAGGGTACGGTGGGAGAGTTGATTGACGGCAAGCTCATCCCCTTGTCGACACCAAGAATTCCGATCAGTCGGGTACATGTAGCATCCTTAATTCCATCACGGTACTGTATTCGCCTGCATAGCTCTGAGGCTCAGGTCGAAACTGCTACAAGTACACAGCACTCACACCAGGATGAATGAAGTTCCGATCCAATATGTGAACTTCGTGGTCAGCAGTCGGTACAGAGGGTGAGTATTTTGGATCGGTCGCAGAGATGCACCTACGCTGATGGAGGGCGATGGCCGTAACTTGGACCCTCAATGGAATACTCTGCACAACTGTTCTGCATCGTGTGTTAGACGAGGAATTTTCTGTCATGATATCACAAGCATGCACCCTTGCGATTCAAGGGGGCAGCATGCAAGTGAATAATATAATTAAATGGTATTCTGTTTGACCAGATCAGCATGACGATTCTGCCCCCATCGCGGGGCGAGAATAGGCAGCATGCACGACGGGAAGCGGGCGCGTACGGAGAGAAGAGAAGAGGCTCTGGTACGCAACCGTTGCACCAGCTTCACCACACACTCCTTATCTCTATGGCGTTTGAAACAAACTGCAGTCCGAGGTACTCCTGTACACACGACGAACAAGACCCCATTCCACACTTTCTCAGTATCGTACCGTACCGTACCGCAAGACCAGACAAACATCCCGGCACTGTCGAAACAACCGCAGGAACTGGCAAGCGACTACAACGTAATACAACACCCACCAGCGGCGGGTACATGCGGAGGGTCTCGCGCATGCAGTCGTGCAGCAGCTCCATCTCGCCAAGGTGTTCCCACGTGAGAGGCGTGTTCTGGGTGTCCTTGAGCACCGTCTCCTGCTCCTCGAGAAGCCGCTCCAGCATCTTGGGGTCCCTGCGAGAGAAGGCGACAAACACAAACCACAATTCGACGACGTTCCGCTGGCGTTCCACTTAAATTGCTGCAACTCGGCATGTACAGGTACTGGTATCACCCAGTGCGGACAAGAACGACAACGCGATGAGGCTGGGGGGCGACATGGATGTCGGGTGGGGTGGGTCTCCGATGATCTCCGATGATCTCCGATTTGTTGACGAAACCGTGCACCGGCAGTGATAGTGGTATTAATAGTGGTAGTGGAACGAACGACCACCACGAGACTACACGCATGACAAGGCCAAAATCGATCTACTTGCGACGGATTCGCGTGTAAAAGAGCTACCTAGAAAAGCTGTCCAGAAGGACCACCAATCGAGTCTCGTTGAGCGAGTCATCAGCGTGACGACGATCGTTTTTGGTCGTTCTACACTCGTGCAAGAAGTCAGAAGCACAAGAGCTTGACCTTGAAAACCTGACTGTTCCCACGCCTGGGTCAAAGCCTAACATCCCAACAGCCAGGAGGGAGCTAGAAGCTAGTTTCGAGTCCAATGTCTTGGCGGGAAGCCGAGCTTGGTACACAAAACGACAGATCAAACACCAACACCATCAACACACGATATGCTCGAAACGAGGCTTGCATGGTTGCCAAGAGAGGAGTCAAGTCAGGTACACGTAAGATGATGGGGCCTAAATTCGCGTCCCGAGGTAGCCTCACGGACGACAGACACCACAGCACGACCAACACCTCACCCTACCCTGGACAGACAGGTGGATGAAAGATGAAAGCTGCTTACCGGGTGGTGAGGAGGGTGGTCCAGGTGGAGGTGATGGAAGAGGTGTGCTGTCCCGCGAAGAGGAGGGCGATGAGCAGGCCCACCACCTGGTCGTCGGTGTTGGTGCTGCCGTCCTTGTACTTCATGTCCACAAACACCTTGCAAAAAAAAAAGGGCGCCAAAGAAAAAAACAAATGGTAAATCGAAAGGCAAGGCAAAGAGAACCCAAGTAACCGGACTGAAAAAAGTATGCGAACGAAATTAGTGAGCACGTATGCATATGGTTCTTGCCGAGGAGGCTACTAGGGCTTTTCAATATTGAATGCCTTGAATACCCAATACACTTTACAGTACCAACGTGCACCGGTAGCGCCGTTATCGTGAACTGCAATGGCGTCGATGAAATCAGATCGTTTCATGACTGCATGTGCGAATGCTACCTGGCACGTGGCCATCACAGCGGGTGACGCCAGTACACGTACCTTCGTGCCTTCATTAGGCCAGTCTTTTATGCCGATGAAATGCAACCGTTGAATCGTCTGATGATTGTACGCGAGTACTATTTAGTGCTGAACGTGGATATCAGAGTGAGATACAAGTAGTATGGTACAAGATAGTGTTGGTGTTGGTGTCGTCACCGTACCTGCAAGAGGTCGGTCTTCTCCACGGTGGAGGTGCCGGATGCCTGCTCCGCCCTTCTCGCGCTGATGACGGAAGACAGCACGGTCACCATCTCCTTCCTAGCCTGTGTCACCATCACCATGACGTCACCATTACATCACCATCACCATCTCCATTTCCATCATTGTCATCGTCACCATGACCGTCATCAGCATCATCACCACAATCACCCATCACCATCACAACCACCGTCACAAACCAAAAGGGGTACGACCAAACCAACGGAACTCAGGCACAGCATCGCATGGCCCGACACGGCATGGCAGAGCACAGCATACATCACCGACTGAAAGCGTGCACATTTGCTGAGTCTAGCTGATTCATCACGAAACGTGAACCACGTCAAAAAGGACCTTCGTGTTGATTTTCTATACAGCCATGTAACAAGGATGGCACGGACGTTCGGACAGGCAGTACTGAAAATAAGAGCAGAAACAAAGAATACAAACAGAGCGACGCAAAGAGGCCACGGATGAGAGTGATCAATTTTTTTTTGCCCCAAGACGAAGAAAGTCATAACAACGTCAACGTGTGTCTACTTGGATCAAACCCAAAACAAACCAAAGAGACATAGGCATGCCTTCTCAAGCAAAGAAAATTGAAGCCCCCCCAGCTCCGTCCTCTCGTGGTCAATGGTCTAGTCACTAAGGCATGCAAAACATGAGTACACCCCCCCCCTCCCCTCCCCGGACCCTGTGATGCGGGTTTACAGTACCTTGTCACGTCGGAAGTGAGCGGGGATCGGGGCATGCGGCAGGAATACCGAGAGGGGGGTCATGCCTTCATCCAGGTCGTGGAAAAGGCGAGCCACTTCCTCGAACAGGTTCTCGCGTACTTCATCTCCGTGAAGGCAGCGGGAGGCCGTCAAGATGGTCAGCCTTGACAACGCGGAAGCCAGGTCGACTTCACCCTAAAAAAAGAGAAGAGGCGTTTCATGTTTTTGGAGCGGGGGGGCATTGAAACAGGATAAGCAAGTTCTGGGGGTTATGCATAGGAGTGCTAGCCTCAACCTGGCGGAGGCCAGACTGGTCTGCTAGATGAAAGCGGACATATCGCGTCTGAGGGGAAAGAGGGCATTTGGATGTTGGAACTGATGAGATGAAGTGCTGCTGTCAGGGCCATCAAGGTCGATAGCACGGGAGGCAGGCCCACCCCATCCGCCAAAAGAGAAGCGGGACAAGTTACTATTGCTGCCAGCTCACGGGACACGAGGAAAGATAAGTTGGGCGTGGACACACGCGTGTGAGGTTTCGGTTGTGTTTCAGGAGAGAGACAGACGTGAGGCTGATCTGTCCTCCTACGGAACACCCCTGCAGCCGAGAACGACGAGATAGACGGGAGACGATAACATGTCGTGTCTCCTGTTGGTGTTGTGCGTGCGTAAACTCGACAAATCACACCCACACCCATACTCTGCTGCACAATACTCATGTGCGGGGCTGCGAAAATCCTCTCTACACTTGTGGGGGTGTCCAGCGTGCGGCCTCTTGTTCCCTGGTCATCTCTAACGACAGTCTTTAACTCATTTTGGTTTGGGCCGCGACAGCAACAACAACAGCAACAGCAACAAAAGCAGCAGTCTCACCGAGTCACCCCAGGTCTTGAGGAAGTTGCGCGTCTCCTTCTCGATCATGGGAACGTACGACTTGAGCCTTGCCGTCCGCAGGCCGTAGGCCATGTGCTGCATCTGCTGGTTGCGCTTCTTCGGGTCTGCCGCATACACCACATCAGCGCCGAACACGGGCTTGGTGTACCTCCCGTACACTTCGTTCTGGCTCATGGTCTCGTCCTGCAACGCAGTATGGAGGGGCACACACCCAACAGGTTCGCGGTTCATGTCCAGCTTAAGGCTGACGGGTTTCCAGAGGTGAGTCGGTTAGCGCAGCCGATGTAAGACACACATAGCATTGTGTTGGAAGACTGACATGTCCGTTCTCACTGGTCAGGCGGGTACAGCAGTAGCACGGTCGATGCAAGACACATGCAACAACAGGGTGCTGGGGGGGGAAGGTGTACCAGTATAGTTCAAGGTCTATCAAGGAACCAAGGTCTCGTGTCGTTGCCGCAAGGTTCGGGCTTGGCGGAACCGGCCACCGCCGTGTGTAGCGGGGTGATCTCGTAGATGTCGTATTAATAGATTGCCACAAAACCAATTCCGTTGGGCGGGGCGATTGGTGCAAGGCTGCCATAGCTTCTCTCCTGTCAAGAATAGAGCAAAAACCAACTCTACTCAAACGGTGCACAAGCAATCCCCAAGATCCAACGACGGTTCAGAGGAGAGAGACTGATGCTCCAAAAAAAAAAATTGTACAGCATCTACATCTACATTCCCGGCACCACGGTCGTCTCCTCTAGTATTTTCGGAATGGCCAAGCACACCATGGTGACGTAGGGAAGGACTTTACTTGCCTTTTTGCCTTTTGCTCAAGTCTCTTCCCTCTGTTAGTAGACCGATTCAAGAGGCCCAGAGAGCGTGGCAGATCAATGATGAGAATGCACAGCTCTAGGATAACCCTCAACTCCAATACCAGGTAGACTACACAGCGCACCCTGGACCTATTGTCATTTTCAGAGCTACTGCTGTAGCTCTGCTCTATGCTATGCGGCAGCAAGAACAGCAGTGGCTGCGGTTGGGATCGTCTCGTCTGGTCGAGGGCTTTCTGAAAAACGCACCATTTGATTCGGGCATCCTCGTTTTCATTGAGAATCAAGTTGTTCAAAATTGGCCTAGTAGGATATTACAACATGCAACTACAGTATTGTATACGGCATTCGAGCCCCTTCCTCATCCCTACTTAGGATACGCCGCAATTCGTCGCTCTCCAACTGCAGTAACTCACGTTGAGTTTGAAGAACGGTGCCTGAGCCTCCGGTCCAACCAGAAACGTGAAGTTGAACCCCATCAGGGGGACGGTATACACAGCACCGTACCTGCGTGCAGCACATCAAAACGAGAAGGGCAAAGGCGACCAAAAAAAATGAGGTGACCCGCGCCCTGCTACATACAGTGAGGGGCGCGGGGTATTTTTTGTATGGGAACCGACATACCGTGCTGTAATCGCTGGCTGGCTGGCACCATGAGGTCGTTGTACCCAAGGTCTGTCTGTCTCACCCGCACAGCCTATACCCAGCAAAAGCTGAGCGCCGTACAACGCCGCTCTGATGTAGCAGTGTTGTTTAGCTACGACATTTATCGAACGGTGGCACCAAATTCACCGCCGCCAACCCATCGTCGTGAACGGTATCAAGGGAAGGCAGGGCGGATCGTGTACATCACTCCAAACGTACAGCAGTCCCACACTTTCCGCAAGCAAACAGAAGCAGCTTTTTTCCGCGCGAGCGAGAGACCGAGCGGATCCCTTGTGCGTTTTTTTGGTTGTGACCGAGCGTTGCCCCACGACGTTGGCCAAACACCGCCGCCTTGGGTATCCAGGGTTGCACTACATCCCTGTTGGTGAAGACGTGACGGTTGACGGTGCTTTACTGCTGTACGCTGTACACGCGGCGAATGGCCTGCGGTCAATTTCTGGCGGCTGCTACTGTAGATGGATATCCACGGGGGAATTGCGGGAAACTCAACACCGCCCAGATATCAGATATCAGACGTAGGCTACGTTGCGTGACCGCAAGCAGCATCGTAAGGTGTTCGATGCCACTCTCAAGCGTGCCTGTTGAGGTATCCACTGTGCGAGACTGTCACTTGCAGCTGCGTTGCACGTCACAACAGCAGCAAGCAGTCTTCGTGCCACGTCGCCGTTAGAACAGCAGTACACACCAGCACTCGTTTTCGATGTCAAAAGAAGGGGATGCAGTGCACAAGCAGCTCGAAGACAGGTCAGTCGAGGACGCCTGATGCACCTTCACAACAAGGGCCAACCTCTCTCGTCCACTCACTTCTCGTAGCACTCCCTGATCATGTTGAGAGGGCTTCGGATGAAGGCTGCGAAGTTCCCGAACACCGGCACGCCCATCCTCACCACAGGAGGCGCGTTTTTCGGGCTTCGTCGAAAGGCCGCAATCAGGGCTAGAAACACGCACGCCACCAGCGCCGCTCCTGCGAGGAGATCCGTCGGCGGCATCTCTCGGATGGCGTCCATCGCTTTGTCGAGTGTCGATCGCGGCTGCAACGCTTGGTGACAGACTGGATTGGTCCCACGGGTGTTTTTGTTCCATGCCACGAGGGGCATATGGTGCATGTCAGGTGATGTCACCGGTTTGAAAAGTGTGAACCATTTCACGGGGCCCCGGAAGACATGCCGCATCCAGCGGGCTGTGGGCAGGCAGCAGCCAGCAGCCGGCAAAGAGAGTAAGGGCAGAGGCAGCAATTGAGGCATAGCAGTGCCTGTTTGGCGTTGATGCCGGCCCTTTTCTGGAGATAACGGGGAAGGCAACCGAGTGAGATGATGGCTCGCTGCTGTTGTAACGCCAACCGTTGTAGCGTCAACCGAGTGTCCTTGGTACAACGATGCGGGAAGCAAGTAGTGCTTCTCCTGTTGCTTATGGTGCTGATGCTGGCGAGAGAAGATGCTGATGCGGGTGTCATGGGCGTGGAGATGATCGAAGTGAAGGGTGGCTGCCTCCAAGTTACATTGAAGGTGCGGCCTCTGCTTTCTTTCGCCGCACGCTTTGATGAGTATGCGGAACGAGAAGCTATACACCACGAGCAGGTACATCTGCCCCGATCTCTTGTTCAACTGCTATACAACTATACAACCCTCCGCTTGGTGCACGTACTACTGCTACCCCACCGGTTGTATGTACGTATGTGTCGCTATGAGAAAATGGACATGTGCGCTACGAGTGAATGACCATACGCACACCGAGAGCCTCAGTGTGCATACACACAAAATGGACAGCTGCCGTACTCTAGGCGCACTGGCTTCCCCTCCGCCCGTGCACGAACGTTGAGGTGCCACGGCGTCTCGTGTCATGCGTACATACAGCAGCACAGAGGCGCCTACCCCGAATGGCCTGGCTGCTCATGACGTGATTGCGCCACACCACCACACCTCCATGCTGTTTCACCTTTCGTCGTCAGCTGCTGACAGGCAATCAGTGTTTCACATAGTTGATGGACACTGTGCTCGAGTCTTGAATGCCTCCCGTCCGAGTTATACCGCCCCGATTGCTCCTACGGTGGGCAGTCAGAAGCACTGTCGGTTCAACTTGGATGGAACCAACTGTTGTAGGGCATCACAACAACACAACACTCGCAACATCAAACAATCACAAAGCGCAACATTCAATGAAACGACCGGCGTTTCGATCTCCGCGCTACCGCCGCTACCACTACCGATACTGACGCCACTGCTGCTGATGCTGCTGCCGCTACCTCGGCAGGCCGGCGAGCACATGAAAGCGGACCCCCGTTGCATCGTGTCCCGAGGCGTCGGTCTAGCCCTCCGCCCGCCGGCGCCCCTGGAGAAGGAAGGAATCCTCGGCGGGCTTAAGCAGCGCCTGCGCAAGGCGGCCCAAGGGCGACAGGACCAGCAGCAGCAGCAACAGCATCGAGATAACCACCGTCTGGAGAGGGTGTCGAACACGATGGCCTCGAACGAAACGGACTGTTTTTTCGCCCCGCCGTTCCCGGGAGACGTTGCCGTTGTCTCGGTCAGCAGCGGTGGCGGAGACGAAAGCGTCGGTGAAGAAAGGCGGGATTATGACGATGCCCACGGCGGCGACCGGCGCAAGGCTAGGCAACGGCAAGAGGGTAGGGGCGGGGACCGCCCTGCCGCGAGAGGCAGCAGGCACGGCTCCGACAAGCCCCGCAAGCTCGTGCTGCTGACGCAGGCGATTGTTGCCGTCGGCCCGGGGGTTGTCGTGAAGCCCTCGCCCCTCCCAGATGCAGGAGGAGGAGGACGGGGGGGGTCTTCGCTCTCCCGCCGACAGCAGCAGCGTGGCGGGCCTGTTGTAACGACGGGCGTTCTCTCTTTGTGTGAAGGGCAAGGACAAATCGCGGTGGCCGGGTACGGAAAGCTAAAAAAGTTGCGGTTGAGGCCGGGGCAGAAGAGGTTGGTGGACTCCTCTCGCGCGGTGGGTTGGACCAGCGGCGTAACGTGCCTCACTGGCACCGGGGGGCGTGCCTCGGTACCCACCACAGGCAACAATAACGGAGCCAACAGCCCTGCTGGCGCGTTTACCACGTTCGTAGGCCCCGGGACTGTTTACGTTCAGACGCACTCCCTCCCTGGTTTACGGCGGTTACTCTTGCCAAAGTCGGGAGTTTCGTTGCAAGGGGGAGTTCCTTCGGGCCTCCTGGGGACGGGGGGGAGGGGTGCGGGGGCGTTGTTCGCCCCGCGGGGAGGGCCACCAACAGTGGGCCTTTCTCTCAAGAGGGGCTTGGCGAAGCGCGCGAAGGCGGGGGCGAAGCGGGTTTCTCTGGCGGTGGCGTTCTTCGCGCTGTACCTTGTGGTTTACTCCCTGGTGACGGCGTTGCTCCTTGAGGGGAGGGACGGCCTCGCCAACGCGCCGCGGCACGCGGTGCAGGTGGTTCGCTCCCTCTCGAAGGTGGCGCGTCGTGTGGCGGTGGTGCTGGTACGGCTTGGGCGGGAGGAGCTGTGGAGAGAAGGAGAGGGCGGGGGTGTTACACCTCCGCAGAAAAGCCTTGCAGAACGATAGTGGTAGGAGCTCGGTTTCACCGGGTGTTCTAACGGCAAGGCACACAGCGCATGAATGCGCCCTTGATAGATTTGTGAGGTGGCCTTTCCCCCTTGTTTGTGTGCCATCCTTTATGAATTAGACTTGTTTTTACGACATCACCTGGGAGTTGTTGACGGGCTTGCCGCCGCGTGGGGTTTCCGTGTTGTTTCATGCGTGTTTGCAAGAACAAGAAAATGAACGGTTTGGCGAGTTTTTTTTTGCGTGGCCTCGACCAACCAATAGACCATTGGCGAGAAGCCATTGCCAGACACGACCAATGATTCCAGAAGCACCTTGCGTGGCCATTGAGGGCATGAATCTCGTGCCTGCCGCCAGCAGTAGCATTTGTGAGGTTGCCTCGTGTTAGAGTAGACTGTGTGCCCTAACCATGTTGTGTGTAGATAGATAGACGATCGGGTTGTTGAGTGGACCGAGCAGGGAGGCCTTTGTGTACTGTTTTCTTGAAGGAAGTCTCAACAACTTCATGATGCCGATACACACAGCGATTCTAGCACTAAGACATGATCGTTCGGGCTTGCTTTGGATTGAGATAAGTCATTGCAACCTTGACGCATGAACTCGAAAAGAGGTCGACAATCTGCCAATGCGATACGTGGATCGTTTGCAGTGTGCTCCTGCTGCTTTCAGCCCCTGACCAAGATTTGCCATTTCGATGAACCGCGTTCTTGTGGATGACAGCAGTAGTTGTGTCCCATCCACCGCACCACCACTGCATGAAGTGTTGTACTGATGTACCGTACCAGTATCAATCTTGGCGTACACTTCCTGGCTACACAGTGGACACGTTGACACGGCGGCTACGAAGATGGGATACGTTTCAAACCATTCAAAAACAGCCACCGATGTTTCACGAGGGAGAACAAATATTTTATCCCTGAAGCGCAAAATCACCCCGCTCACACACGCTTTTCATTCCCACGCGCACGGCGGCGCCACAAGGGCCTCTATTCCTTGACATGGAGGGCGACAACGTAACATCTCCAACACGTGTGCTTCACCTACAGTAGTGGAAACTAGCAACACTAGTTTTCGCATCGGAAGCACGTGTCGCAAAAGCTTGGGTTGGCAAGTCCTACATCACACAATGGGGTTTAAAACAGGCGGAAGCCACTCTTCCTACTCTTCTTCCCTCGTGCTTCAGTCTCGACGGCCACAGCAGCAGCATCATCGTCCGTTCTTCGCTTCGCCGGAGTCTCTACCGCCTTCCACTTGGAGTCTTCCTCCTCAGAGGCTGTACTCTTCTTCTTGCTCTTCTTCTTGCTATTTCCCTTTCCAGTGTCAGCAGGCCCTTGGCCGCCAGTGCTACCGCCCTCTTTGGCCGTCGCCGATGTTTTCTCACCGGCGCCGCTAGCCTCACTCGTCGCGTCATTTTCAGAGCGTCGCTCTTGGCCGCCGACGCCTATTGAAGCCTCGCTTTTCTTTTTCTTCTTTTCTCTTTTCTTGGTGGCCGTCTGCGACGGCGGTGCTTGCTTGTCGCCCGCGGACACCGAGTTCTTGATGGCGTCCATGACGAACGAGAGGTCGGCTCCCTTCTCCTTTTCATCTCCCCCTGCTGCTGCTGCTGCTGCTGCTGCTGCTGCTGTGTCCCCCGCTGCCTTCGTGTCGTCGCCGCCGTGCGCCCCTTCTTGGCGCTTCCTCTTCTTTTTCTTGGAAATTTCTTGGGTGGCGGTGGTATCTCCTTCTCCCTCGGCGACGCCCCCTCCTTGCTTCGTCTTGCCCTTCTTCTTCTCGGACGTGGCCGCACCATCGACAGCGCCCCCCTCTTCCGTGTGCGCCCCCACGTCCTTCCGTGTCTTTTTCGAGCTCTTCGAACCCTTGACTGAAGCCACCGTTTCCTTTGGCTCCGGTGCACCGTCCCCCTCGCCATCGTCCCCTCCCCCGTCCGCATCGGCAGGGGCTCCAGCTCCAGCGGCCGACTTTCCTCTCCTCCCCCGGCCCCGTTGACGCCGCCGTTTTTCCTTCCCCTTCCCCCCGTCCTCGTCGCCCTCGGCCTTACTGGTGAACGGCGAAGGCGCAAGCCGGCCTGCCTCTCGGTTGCTGCTAGCGCTGGCGGAAGAAGTTCCCCCGCTGCTCTTCCCGGATGTCCCCTTCTTCGTAGATGTCGTAGATGCCGACTCGACTGCGAGGATCTCCGTGAGCATCTTGGCACGATTGTCCCTGTTCTTGAAGGCGTCCTCCCACTCGTGAGGCGACCGCGAGAACCGCTCGACCATGCATTCCGTGAGGACGGACCGCCCCGACGGGTAGCCGGACATGGGGGACCATGCCTGCTCCCCACCTCCGGCCAGTTTTTTTGCGATTGTTTTGGTACGAGACAGCAGGGGGGGGGGGGGTGCGAGGTGAAGATGGACAGTTTTACGTAACATTGGCGGTGGGTGGGCAGCAGAGAAAAATTGCAATGTACGATTCTGTGAACATAGTTTTAGAGACCAAAAACGACATACTGCAGGACATTCGTAAAAGACGCATCTGAACTACGTGCAAAGGTCTCTTCATAGCGCAGCCAGCAGCCAGCAGCCAGCAGAAAGATCTTCACCGAAGGAAGGAAGAGGCGAAAAACAGTCAATGTAGGAGCATCGTCAATTCTCATCGCTGCGCGACAGTGAGCACAACTCAGGAAATACAACTAATGCACATGTGAAGAGCCCCCCCTGTCCAGCTACCGAGCGCGGGTAACCCGAGCGACAGAAAGCAGATCGAAATGCAAGCTGATCGCACAAGACGGATACAAAACGGCTGACAGGGGTGTCCAACGCTTTGCTTTTCGAAAGAGAAAACTGATGTTAAAAAAAAAAAGCAAAGAACAGTGGGTACGGTTGCACTTTCGTCCCTTTGAGCTAGCCTGATGGTAATATAGTCTCCAATCCCGCAAAACCCCCGCCCAACTTTGTTGTCTAGCTGCCTACTACGTGGATCTGCACTATACGGCAAAAAACCCGTCTCACCTCTTTTCCTTCATGTCCACTCCCCGGAAACACTTGAGGAGGATATGCCAGGCCACGCGATCGCACGCCATGGCCACCAAGTGCCCCTTGAACGCCCTCAGGATAGCCCTCCTCGCCTCCTCCGCGGGCTTGTTCTTGCCCCCGCCCTTACCCCCACCCCCACCTCTCGCCCCTGCCGCTTCCAGAATGGGGTCCAGGAGACAGCGGCTGCCCATGTTGTCGCGCGCAACGGCGGCGAGAACATCGTCCGGCAACGCAGCCACTGCCTTGAGCACGGGGGCCGCCACTGGAGGGTCGAACAGCAAGGCGTTCTGCATGATGCGTGCCCCGGGGACGTTGAGGAACAGGCGGTCTAGCCCCCCCTCCCCGGGAAGACGGGGGCTCAGCAAAGCGGGGACCCAAGTGCGGGCCGCCTTGAACGCGTCCGCGATGGAAGGAGGAGAATCCGACGCAGCCGCTTTGTCCTGTTCTGCCTTGGGGTTGCTCTCGTCAGTTGGTGTCGGTGGGGGTGCGCTCCCCGTGTGCCCTGCCTGCACCGCGAGCGCGATGTCCTGGAGGATCTTGGCCTGCGTCTTGGGCTTGAGCCGCAAGCGGACGCAAGCCTGCGCGGCCCTCCACAGCACCCCCGCCCGGCGTGCCTTGAGCAGTTCGGAGGCGTTGTCGCTGATGGCCTCCACCATCTTCTCGGCTAAGGCCTTGTCGTCTGCCCGCTGCAGCGCTGCCTGGATCAAGAAGTTAGACACGCCGTGCTCGCAAAACTCCAGGAGCCTGAGAGAAAAAGATTGGGGGGTTGAAGGAGGGGGTAGCATGTGAGGGGGTCGATGTCGGCCGGTGGAAGGAAGAATAAAGACCACGCTGCGGTACATATTAGCGTTACGTACTTGTCGGGGAAGAACACCCTGTTGGAGTATTTGTATACAAGAACGACTGGTTCTACTGCACGGGTTCTGTGCAGTATTGTGAAGGCGTGTTTCCAAGTCTGTAACCGTCAGGTGAAGACAGCTTGGGCGTATGAGTGTGGATAATAAATCACTCTGTGTTTACCCTATCTACACCTCGCGAACAACGCCAGCAGCTCGAGAGGACAGCGTCCCTCGCTGCACAGCGTAAGCCATTTCGCCCAACACACCCAACGAAACAAGGGTACCCGCTCCAACAAAGCGAATACCACCTACAACCAACCGTAGTCGACACAGAACAAACCAGGCGTACGCCACCAAACAAAACATGATATAACAGGAAAACAATACCGATATATCTGCAAACTGTGCACGACGCGTTGCTCAGCAACCTGCTGCGGTGGAGCTAACTCACTTGCTCTCAAAGCACCGGTGGTACAGCTCCTCGAAGAAGCTTCTCGGTGACAGCCACAGCACCGCCTCGAGAAAATGACTCGCGGTGTTCTCCCCGGAGATGGCGTACACCACCTGCGCGCTACGCTCCTGGTCGTCCCACTCGAGCACCTTCTTCACGATTTTCATCGCCATCGACTCGTGCTCCAGGCACGGCAGCACCATCGTCTCAGCAGCAGACGACGCCGTCGCCAGGTTGCCGTGGACCCTGAGCAGCATCACCAGCAGCGGGCACCCAAACGTCCCGCACGCCAGAGTCTGCAGCTCGCTCGCTGGCAACGCCTCGAGCTCCGAGGTTACCTCCCCAAGTGCCGCGACAAAGGATCGCGGGACGCGGTGCTTGTAGGGCGTGGACCACTTCTCGAGGGCCTCGGGGTCAACTGCTGGCGAGGCGGAAGATTTGCCCTCGGCGCCTACCGAGGAGCCGTTGCCGTGGTTGTTGTTGTTGCTGCGCCCACCCATCCTCGCCGGGCCTACGGCTGTGCCGATGGAATGGGCGTGTCGGGACTGACGCCCGCGCTTCTCGGAGAGGACAGGCATGCCCCCGAGCACCTGGAGGAACCCCCGCCCCACGTGGCTGCCGCTGATGTCGGCGAAGAGCTCCGCCCACGCGCCGGACAGCTCAGAGACCAAGGAGAGCAGGATATCTTGCATCTTGTCGATCTTCTTGCTGCCGTCGCTTACGGCTGCGGTGCCCGGGTCTTCCTCGTAGTGCTGTGCTGCGTCTTCTTCTTCGTCAGCGTCGTCGTCTCCAGAGATCTCGTCCTCAACGACCTGCCCGGCGACGCTGAGGAGAGTCTGCAGGACGTGCGAGGAGTAGCGATTGTTTGCCAGGCTGAGCATGTACCCGCGGCACCGGCCGAGCATGGTGCGGAGCTGCAGCGGGGAGAGCCGCCGGGCCATCTTCTCCGCCACCACGCTGCCTTGGCGGTCCTCCATGATGCTGGCGGTCTGGTGCTTGAGCTCCTCGAGGATGTTGTCCATCAGCTGCTCGCGACCGACGTCGTCGTCGTCGTCATCGTCGTCGGCCCCCCCATAGCTGTGGTCATCCTGGGCGTACTGGTCGATGACTGTCTCGACTTGTGACAGGTAGCTGATGATCTCCTTGGCAGCGCGGCGAGGGTGAGTCCACTCTGCTCGCTCGCGCGGCTGCGACCACTCGTTCATCACTCCGACCCCTTCTAGGAGTGGTGTTCGGTGCTCTCCGTCCGTTGTGCGCCCTCGGCTCCCCTGCCTGCTGCAAGCAGAGCGGATGGCTGGAGGCAATCGAGCCATCTCCTCAAACGCACTTGGGGCGTGATTTGATTGGTCGAGACTGTCAGAAGGGTCCCCCCTTTTATATGTGCGAAACCGTAGACGCTCGATTTTTGCGGTGGGTTGGCCAGCAACGTGTCACAGCGTCAAAACCTGGCATCCATCCCTCCCCGCAACCTCTCCTCTGCCTTGTCTCTCACGAGCTTCTACCTCTCTCAAGCTTAACATGTCGGCTGTTGCACGTATCCAGTTGGCGTCCAAGGTGGCTGCACCCATGGCATCTAAAGCTCTGGGTGTCTCTTCTTCCCGCTTCTTCACGGGCACGGCACGTGCTCAGAACAAGGTGTGTGTGCATGGCTCTACTGCCACAGTGCGAGTGTGGTTGGCTACACAGCAGTATCGGCGTGCAATCAAATCAGCTGCAGGCACCTGCAGTTGGTCACGTGATGCGTGCTGCTAACGAAAAGTTATTGCCTGTCAGGCGTTGGAGTCATCTAGGGCCCCTCAACTGAATATGTTCTTGTCTCGTGTCACAACACTCGCCGCTGCGCGCCGTCACTTCGCTGAACCTTCTGCGGCCCTTCTGTTCGTCCACGTCCAACTCTACCAAAAACGCTGTGATGCATACATAGGTAACCGTCGTGGGTGCCGCGGGCGGGATCGGGCAGCCCATGTCCCTTCTCCTCAAGCTGTCGGGGAAGGTCGAACACCTGTCTCTCTTCGACATCGTCAACACGCCTGGCGTTGCTGCCGACATCTCCCACTGCAACAGCAAGGGAAAGGTCAGTACGGCCATCACCCCCCACCAAGATACAGCAGTACATAGCTTCATCCGGTATCCCGTAGAGTCGCCACGCGCTACTGCTGCTGCCGAAGGTCCACACTAAGCCTGTGGAAGCCTATTTAAGACGGGAGACGGGAGGGAAGTATCCGTGTGTTGCTGATACGTGTCTCGCTACCTTCCTTGCCGCTGCGGGCTATTTGCTGTCGGACACTTTTTTTTTTCACACCGCAGTGCATGTTGCAAACAGTATGCATATACCAACAGGCAACCTTCGTAGTTTTGGGGAATTTCGCCATTAGGCGCTCGGCTGGAAATTGGTATAGCATAGCGCCTGTGATGTGGGAGTACAGTACGGAAAACACGGATCACCCTGTCGGGTGATTGGGCAATACGGCATGACGGCATGATTGTAAATAGAAGGTCAAAGGCGGTGCAACCCAACTATTTATTGCAGCGCTGTCTACCTTCTGGAAGCGCTTCTGTCGCTCGTGGTACTACGCCAGGACCCTCTCCACTCTCGACATGACATTCTCTCGCCTGGTACAAATGTATTTGTAGCGAATTGGGACTGACTCAAGTTGACGTATCACTACATAGTCTGATACACCGGCGGTAGGGGGGTGAAGCTACATACATTTCCATTTTTCGTTCGCGGAAAAGAAACAATAGTCTATGTGCGGCCCGTTGAGCTATTGTTCGAATGAACACTGCCTGAAGAAGTATGTGCGCTCCGCGAGTTTGGATATCCATGCACTCAGGAACGGCTTCACCCCGTACTGCCCACTGGAGACAGTTCGTGCACTCTGCTGCTGCTGCTGCTGCTGCTGCTGCTGCTGCTGCTGCTGCTGACTGCAGTCGTGAACGCACCACCACCTTTGTACAATCGCTAAAGCACTCTACTGCTACGTAATATTCCTGGCTTCCCCGCGCAGGTGACCGGGCACAAGGGGGCCGAGGAAATGGCCACCGCATTGGACGGCGCAGACGTCGTGGTCATCCCAGCGGGCGTGCCCCGCAAGCCAGGAATGACACGGTGAGTTCGTCAACTAGCAAACCACAGCTGTGCATGAATTGGTGGGTTTGTGTATGTATTCCAAGCGCTGCGTTTGTCCATGACCCTACATCCAACAGCGATGTACGCTTGTTATTGTTGGTTTCGGGGGTGGGCCTGTTTCGACCACGGAAATACGTCTGCTCTCTCTCAACAGTGCGGGGAGATACGGGAGAGAGGCGGGGGCTATGTTGCAAATCACAAGTGAAGATAGAAACTCACGTGCGGATTGTGTCAACTGCTGCGCACACAGTTGCCTGATACACTACGATGTCGTTGTGTTTTCCCTGCAATCGCCGTTGTGTTGGTCCTTTGTTCCCGTGCATCAGTGACGACTTGTTCAACACCAACGCATCGATCGTCAAGGGCATCGCCGAACAGTGCTCCAAGAGCTGCCCCAAGGCGTGCTTCCTCATCATCTCCAACCCCGTAAACTCGACCGTGCCCATCTTCGCCGACGTGCTCAAGGTTGGTCAACTATTACAGGAAGGCTTGTTGTGTTGTTGTGTTCGGGGCGTTAAGTAAACCCACGCAGTCGAAGAGGGCCGTGTGCTATGCTGCTGATTTTGTGTGCAAGAGGTGAAAAATATAGGGGCCTAGATCATTGTCCGCGGGCGGCTTCGTAGAAAGAGAGAGCTTGCGTGCTTTGCAAAGGGCGCAATCAACCGTGTGTCCATCGTGATGAGCTGAATCCCATCACAGGTACACGTAGCACGGCAACTCCCAATGGCGTTAAAAACACCTCTTGGTAGAGGCCAGAACGTGTGTTTTGGTGTTAAGACAGCAGCAGCAGCGGTGGTAGAGCAGTACGGTACGACATGGGGCAAGGCCTAAAGGGTAGAGGAAAACGGGCATGTATCTGTATCTCTTGTGCGAGGATAACATTATGACGATGATAAACATCAACATCAACGTCAATATAACAAGGATTGCTGCTGCCGTGTTGTTCGTTGCCGCTTTCTGCTACCGTGGTACATCGCGGGCGCCATTTGCAACTGGACTTGGCTTGGCATCAGGCGAATGGCGTCTACAACCCACAGAAGCTCATGGGTGTCACCACCCTCGACGTGTGTCGTGCCCAGACTTTCATCGCAGAAAACCAGGGTGAGAATCAGGGCTATGTATGCATAGGCTTGGTAAAACATTTGTTGGTGCAGAAACGCGCGCTTGGTGTTGGAGCTATTGACGCGACCGCTATCTGCAACGATGCCTCCATATGCAACGCCAGTAGATTCGTCAGTAGTGCTTAGTTTGAGAAAATTTCGATCTCGCAACGCCTGCGCTTGCCGCACGATACAGCCATTTTTTTTTCGATAATATGGATCAGTGTATCCTGCACTCGGTGGGAAGTTTTCAGGTTGTTTCTTGGGGGGTTATTTTCTGCAGCAAGTCTGACGACGATTTTTGCAGCCCGGTGACCCATGCACACCACGTATTAGTACGCTTGATGCGCGGCTGGGCTAAATTGCCATAGCTTCTCCCGCGAGATACACTAGTTGCGCGCACAATACTACCCATTATGGGCACAGGGGGTGGTGTACTTTTCAAATTGATATTTCGCCGCTTCAGCTGGGCTTGCTTTGTTGGGGTTATTCGATCCTTATTTCAGTCGCGATTTTTTCTGTCGCAGGGTGCCTTTTGATATGTAACACTTTTCGGTGCACGCGTGCTTGCCGACACGACGTCGGGTGTAAATAATGTCGCCTCGGCTTGGTTCTGGCCGCGCGCGTGCAATTTCATGCACATACATGATGCTGACGATGACATGGACTGGTGGCCTATTGGCATCCACCATCGACCATGCTCGCCCGGCCTACGTATACTGCACGAACAGGCATGGATGTGGACAAATTGGACGTGACGGTTATCGGAGGGCATGCGGGCACCACTATCATGCCCCTCTTGTCTCAGGTGAGATCGGTTTACTTCGGATAAGGTTTGCTCCAACAAGGCGATATGGAACTTAAGAGGAATGTTAATGTTCCGTTGGGAGGATACGATCGGAGTCCATCGAAGTAGACTAGCACGACGATATCCCTTCTGAACACTTACTCATGTTTTTGTTTTTTTTGCGGGGGGTCTGATGACGAGGTAGAAGGGTGAGGGGGGTGATTTCCTCTAGCGTAAGCAAATGGGTCTGGTGCTTTCTCGATGAGGCTCATGGATTTGGACGTAGCAGAGGGCTCGTGTAGTTCTTGACACCATTCAGTTTGTTTTACAGACAGGCAGCTAGTTTAAGGATATGTTTGGACCGGGATTTGAGTCGCTGACCCCAAAGAATCGAAGAGGCATCCGAGTATTCGAAGCCTGACGCTCTTTGGTGCACGGCCTGGTTGACAGGCTAGGGCTGGGATTTGGGCAATAGTATGTTCTGTCGCCGCCAGCTGTTGGTGGAATACCGTCATCGGAACCATTGCATCAACAATGGCTGTTCTTCACCGCAGCGCGAGTTTCCAAGCTACGTGCGACGTACTTGTAGATTATTGTGGTGCCAACGCCGACGCCGATTATGGTTCCTGACCTATATGAACCAACGCTCGAAATGCCGTATGGCAAAGCTTCCACAACCTTGTCGACAGGCAGGGTCGCAGCATAGAAAAACCTTAGTCATCCGACATCCCCTTCACTGCCGTGGTCCTTTCCCCTGCTTCGAATGAAAAATCCGTAGGTTCAGGATTTTATATAACTTTTAAAGTTCACAACATTTGCTGTTTGTATATGGCAACCTGACAACAGGTGGAGGGAGCCAAGTTCTCGGACGAGGACATTAAGGCCTTGACCCACCGCATACAGTTCGGCGGCGATGAGGTGGTCCAGGCGAAGGATGGGGCTGGCTCGGCTACCCTTTCCATGGTGAGTCATTTCCCCCCCGTTTTTTCTCACGGCCCCGAAGAAATCCTCAGAAACGGATCGTTCCACCCGCAACAAAACTAGATGTCTGTATAGGTTGCGATACTCGATGGTTGATTCACGCGTATGGGGCATCAAACCCGTTCGTTTGGAGCTTGTACGTTCGACATATGTGTCTCCGGACAGCGGGGCTTACTTTTGAAGACATTCCGCGTTCAGTCCTGCGTATCGGCATACGTGCTTGGTCGCCTGGCGGAGTGGCATAACACTTTTCACAGCTCCCGTTTGGTTCCGTTTTTTCATACCTATGTACCGGCCTTCTGTCTTGTATTTCGTTCTTCTGCCTCCTGCCAGGCACACGCCGGCGCCTACTTCGCGGGCAAGGTTCTGGACGGGCTGAACGGCGTAGAGGGGGTGACGGAGTGCGCTTTCGTGGAGAGCGACCTGACGGAAGCCCCCTTCTTCGCATCGCCGGTGAGGCATAAGCCTTGTGTCTACAGCAGTACAGAACTCGCCGCTAATTAAGAACCTCTTCTTTTACCCCAGGCCCGTTCCTTATTTTTGTCTATGGGGTACCCCCACGGCGACGGTAGACTTGATTGAGCACGTGTTCTTGTGGCCACGTTCTTAACTTGTAAATTCTTGAGTGGGTGGCGCGTTCTGCACGGTACATACTCAGGATGCATATGTCGCTTGGAGTGTGAATGCCATTGTGTCTAGAGGATAAGTACTTGAGTATGCGAGTAAGGTTCATCCTGTTCTCCCTTTGGGGGAAATAACCCGAAAGTTGCATATTTTGGATTTCCAGTATACATGTAGCCAACAATAGTGAAGGTGAGGGAAGCAACAAGTACAATCCCCTCCCCAAAACTGCGCAAAGATGGCGTGGATGAATCTAGCCTACACCGCATCTTGACGATGTCTTGCTTTCTTGTCGCCCGATGCACCGCCCTGATGATCCCCCACCCCCTCCCCTCCCCTCCCCTCGATCTTCTCTTGGGTCTGTTCGGGGTTGTTTTTGTCGCCAGTGCACTTTGGGCAAGGACGGCGTGAGCAAGGTCCACGGGTTCGGCAACCTTTCGTCCTTCGAGCAAGCCCTCGTGGACGACAACGTACCAGCTCTCGTAAAGATGGCGCAGAAGGGCTCAGATTTCGTCAAGAACAACTGATACCCCTTAATTTTTTCTCGGTTTTCGACGGCAACCGGTGGTGGAGATGTGCATGGCCTTGATTTGATACACGAACTCTAAGACCAATTGAGACCCGTCTCGATGTTATTTAAGTAGCCTTGGGGGGAGAATAATCGTGCTTGTTCTCGTTTTTTTTTTTGCGTGTGTGATCCGATCTTACCGATCTTGAACACGTCTAGAAAGCGAAATACGGAAAAAATCAACAAGTACGATGCGATGTGATTGGGAAAAGGGGTGGACCAGAGAATGTGTCGTATCTAGCCTGGCCTGAAGTTACGTACGGATTTGTCGCCAGTTGGTTGCGGAAAGAAACGGCTGCATGCTTTTGTGTTGTCCCGGAAGCGCCAACGAGAGGATCATGCCCTAGCCCTATAAAGGAGAAAGATGATGTCGGAAACGAAACCAGAAAGCCCCGCTAACAGCGCAAAGCGGCCACGCCCCCACGGAAAATCAAGACGGACACCCTCTGCCACTCAGCGGAACGGAACGCCCTGGGTGCTATTTTCAACCATTTGGAGAGGGGAAAAGACGCCGCGGTTTATTGTAGGGCGATAGCTTTGTTTCCGGTGTGACGAGGGAAGGCGGAGGGGGGGAGATTTCGCCAGGAGTAGAGGTCGACGGAGAAGACACAGCTGTACTGCTGCACTACTGCTGCTGCTGCTGTGTAATCAACAATTTTGAGTGAAGACAGAAGGCCAACGAGTAATTGATGGCTAATGTTATTACGTTTTCCAGAAGAACCCGGAGGCAGGTACACCAACCAACCGACAGCAACTTGCAATCAGAATCACCAAGGCACATCAGCAAAGTTTAACCCCTGTCCCGAAATACGCTGTAGCGGGTCAACGCACTGCTGCTGCTGCTGTTGTTCAAAAGCAAGCAATACGACTACTTGGACGTATTTAACAATGCCGAGCCATCTGAAAGCAAAGACCGGCGGGCTTGTCAGTCGCATCACGCCAAACTCAAGGTGCCGATGATGAAAACGCTGACACCCAACACACGACAACGCTGCTGCAAGCGGCATGAGGGTCCCATAAGACTTGGCAGATCCTTGTGAACGATAGCGTTAGCAGAAGAGGAAGGTGTTCTTAGCGGAGGCAAGCATGTGTCCCGCACGCTCCTCGCCCACGATGCGCTCGAGGCTTAGCCGCTCGAACCTCGTGAAGAGTGAGAGACATGTAACTGCTGTCACGCTCTCCGCTTCCTAAAACAAATCAAAAGGCAAAGAAAAGAAACGGGAGGCAGCAGAACAGAAAACGGGGGGCAGCAAACGAACGGTTTCTGTGGTGAGAAACAAAACCGTGCGCTCATCGAGCTCCGTCCAATCGTGCGGTCTCGGCTACGATCAATATGCATTGTGTGAGTGTCATGGCTCGACTCTAACCCCCTTGTCGAACACAAAATACCTACATTGCGGTCGATTGGCTCACACGGTGAAAGCTTCTCAACCTGGTTCTCCCGTTGGTGCACTGGTACGTTTCAATGAGACATGGTAAGCGTACATAGGACGGTATTTACCACCATCAGCTGCTCCGACGCAGGCCGCGCTGGCACTGCGCAATATTACCAAATACAGTGCTTCAATCAATCAACCACCCAAACAACGCAATTGTGGCCCACGGGTTCTGCCGAGGAAAGAAACGAGAGACACAAACCAAAAAAACAAGGGATTAAGACGATCTATGTACAGCAGTATCTATCTCTGTGACCCACCTCGAGCAGGTTGACCATCTCGGGATAGAACTGCGGGCATTCCGGCAGGGAGTAGAAGATCAGGTGGTGGATGCCGCGGATGCAGTACCGGTTGAAGAAGTGAGCGCGACCGGTGTAGAGGAGCAGGTCGCGGTCCCCTCGGAAAAACCTCGCTCGAGATCGTGCCACCTTTGCCAAAAGAAGACGACACATCTTCAACAATCATGGACCGCAGTATGCATGCCAAAGGACAACACCACTTGCACCCTCTTTTTCACATACACCGTCGTATCCATACCAACATGTAAACACCAGTTGCAACCTCCTTTCACCCACCTAGCCTGGTTAACCTGTGAACGCGGAGAACCTCCGAACCCCGGAATAGTGTGCGAGGAATCCGGAGATACAGCAGTATCGGGCGGCCGTCGGTGCGGTTTCGAATGGTTTCGAATGGTTTCGAATGCCAAGACAGCGATAGGCCGGGGCCCTTAGGAACAAGTCAGCCTAGCGAGCACTCCCAGTGAACAGTGAACAACCTGTAGCGCAAGAGACACGACGCTACATACAACCGCTCTCCCTCGTGGCACTAGCAACAGTAAACACGACTAAATAGACACCGCCCGGTCAAGCAGAGTCTCTGAATTTCGCAACCATCACGGAGGGAGTCATATCGCCAGTTGTCGAATCTATCACTCGCGTTTTAACAAAACGGAGTGGTACATGTAGCATCTTGTCACCTTAAAATGCTACCACATGCACTATTGTAACCTGTGAAAAAACAAAAAACCTGTGACGTTGCCTGCAGCCAGATCGATATACACGACTTCCAAGCTAATGTTGTAATCGGATCGATCGACAAATCAACGGCCGAAGCGAGCAGTCGACAAAACCCCGCCCTCTCTTCACCATCAAAACCCGCCGCACGGCATGCTTTTCATCCCGCTTCTGGCGCTCTACGTAGGCTATCGCTTCATATTCTGCTACCCTTGGCCTACGACTACCAATAGCGCACCTCTGAGCCTCTCGAGTACTCGTGAACGTTCACGACGCTGGCCTTGTTCTTCATGAGGTGGTTCCGCACCCGCACGTAGTCGAAGTAGGACGGGATGAACACCGCCGTGTGGGTTTGCTTGGCCCTCAGCACCTGCGGCAGGACCGTGCCCACGAAGTAGTCGAAGCGCGAGTCGTCCTGGGTGACGAGAGAATTGCACGGCACTCGCTGGAACACCTGCACAAGCAAACAAGAAGATGCTTAATTTTACACGCATATGCACAGGACAGATCAGATCCCTACAGATCGAACTGGCTTTTCGAGAGGAGGGTCCCTTGCGATCGGTAGGACATACGTGATCGGAGTTAGTTTATTCCAACTTAGTAGTGATCTGGAGGACAGGTGATCTAGGTATGTTTGCTCCATGGTCATCTGAAGGACACAGGTATCTCATGATCTGTCCTATCCTGGAGTATGCGTGAAACAATACTGACTAGGTTTCCTCGGTGTTACCATGGCTTTCCCTCTTTCTCAGCCTTCAACCTCATGTGGACCAAATTTCTGCGACCATGCAGATCGTCGGGTACACGTTGCGTACGATTTGCTGTTTCAAATCATCCATTCCTGTCCATGTACCGTCGTACGCAATGCCTACTATACCCTCTTTAGAGACTTGTCCATTGACGAGATACGGTATGGGGACCCGCAGAGGAGGAATGACCCGGCCGTGCATGCCCTCAATACTCGAACAAGTAGGGTTCGACAAATCATTTTTCTTTCCCCCCAGATCGAGTTGAAATACAGGGAAGACTAATTCTCTTAAGAAAAGCAGTTCGTGTTGTTGTTTTCACATTTAAAAACCGTTCCGATCATTACACAGGTGGTATTTAGGCAGAGGTTAGATCCACGTTGAGAGTTCAGACAACTCCTTCAACAGCAAGCTTGACCATTATTTTTTGACAACATGAGATACGAGTGAGGTGCTTGCCTGCAACGCGAGTGGCCCACAGACGAGAAAAGCAACTCGAATACTGGAAGAAAACAACGCACAAGAGCTGCTCAAAACCAAAAACTAAGGCGTGAAGCAACAGCAGGACGCAGTCGCTCTTGACTGTTCCAGCGTAGACTACAAAACAAAACGTATTCCAGCTTCGAATTGCTGACTGATTGCTGCATGGGCATGACCTGGTTTGCGGGGCGGTAAATATGGAGGTAGGTTTCTTGCTGGAAACGCGGCACGAACCACGTGCGCGAGCCGGAGTTTACCGCAAGAATTCTACGCCGCATTGTTATGCTGGTTGTTGAGTGGGGTAGGTTGCACACTCTTTTATCGAATAAGAACTGCCGCAAGCTGTTGGTTCATGAGGCTTTGCCCTAAGTGTCACCTGCTTGGCTTGGAGAGCCACCTCGCAGATGTGCCCGTCTCCGCTGGGTCTTGAGACCTTGACGACGCCGTCGTGATTCCGTAGATGCCTCGATGCAAAGGCGTTCAGGTTGGGGTCCTGGCCATTCAAACGACACACAAGACAACAAGACTCAAGACCAGACCAACACGGCTTCGGCCGCGAGACCCGTCGGTGGAAACGCCAACTCGGCAACTCAGAGGGTCTAAGCAAAAAATCGCCATGGCTTTGTGACGAGAGAAACAAGGCAATACGTAGGTTCGAAGCGCTCGCCGGCCGGATGAAAAGCGTCACACCACGGAAAGGAATAACCTCCGCTACATTTCGCTGGTGGCCCCAAGCAAGGTTGTATCACATCACGCAGCCAAACACGACCACAAGCAAGCAAGACAACTACAATAGCAGAACACTATGTACCAATAAAGAATACTATTCACTCTTAATAATACTAATACGCAGCCCAACGAGTGTGTCCAACAAAAAGCACAGCACGCTGCCACGCTAGCGAAGGCCGGCAAACGCAAACCCCACCTGGAAGGCGCTGAAGACAAGCGTCTGCCGGAAGAGCCTTCCCTGTTCGTGCAAGAACAGCGGCCGCACCCTGGAGAAGTCCGCGCGCGACGCCCGCTCCCCGGTCGGCCTCGAGTTGAGAACCTCCGCGATGTCCGGCACGTACGACCAGTTCTGCATCAGAAACACGTCCGCCCTGTCCAGGATGCAGACCTCTACACTCGACAAGAAGTCCGAGTCAACACCACCGCTGCCGTCTCCCTCTCCGCCGTCTCCCGGCACGGATGCACGGTGCAGCGCCACCGGAGAGGCGATGATAATGTCGCTGTTGTAGAAGTCGCAGTAGAGGCGCACGCCCACCCCTCTCCCCTCCCCGGGCTTGCCCTTGCCGCCCCCCGGCGACAAGGAGATGCCGAGGGTGAACATGTCGTCGACGTTGCGGCCCTCCCCTAGCAGAGCCTTCCAGTCTCCGGGCTTGCGCTCGAGGACGGCCTTGGCGCGCTCCGCCCTGGCGTTTCCTCGCTTGGTGCCGTCTGCTTCCGCCCCCTCGATGTCGCCCTCTCCGTCGTCGTGGCCGTCGGGGCCATACTCCTCGTCGAAGCGGTCCTTGTTGACCGTCACCGTCTTGGGGCCCAGCAACTCGATCATCGTCTCCACCACCTCGTGTGCGAGGCCTCGGAAGGGCAGGAGGATAAGGACCTTGGGGCGGGTGAAGCCCTGGTCCCGCTGCCAGTCGTCCGACTCCGAGTCCACCGTAGCCTTCTTGCTGATTACCGCCGCCGCTGCCCCCCCCCCGGAAGCGGCACCATTGCCAGTAGAGGACGACGACCCGCTGTTGCTACCAACGGTCAGTGTCTCCGACCCCTTTCCACCGCCCCTCTTTTTTCGAGACTGGTCCTGGCCCCCTGTGCCACCGCCGTTGCTGTCTTGCTCCGCATCATCGCCGGCGCCAGAGCTGGTTTCTTTTTTGGCTGCCCGGGCCAGCGCCTCGGCTACCCGAGCCTCCTCGGCCGCCTTGCGCAGACGAGCGGTGTGCCTGACTACCCTGCGCCGCGAGGTGAGGGCGTGGTTGAGAGCGTGCAGCGCGTAGCACCGCCTGATCTCCTCCGCCTCCTCGTCCCGCCACCCGCAGTAGAGCATGTCCCTATACCCGGTCAGAGATGGCAGCAGCAAGGACTGCAGCTTCGACGCCGGGGCCCCGTCGTTGCACGCCTCCCAGCCCCGCTCCAAGGAGGGAAGTACCCCCAGTTCGGCGGAGACGCTGGCCCCCTTGGGCAAGGGCGGGGGAACAACAACGTCACCGTCATTTTCTTCTTGTTTCGCCGCCTTGCGAGAGGCGGCGGCGGAGAGCCCCGCCGCGTCCCACTTGCTCCGCGCCGCACTCGAGGACAGGGGCTTGAACGAGGGCCGCCCGCGATTGGAGGAAAGTTCCGCCGCCTTCTCCGGCGGGAAAACAGAGGTGGAGACGAAGTGCCGGCAGAACTCGTCTCTGCTGCGACCGGCCGCCCTCCCCCCCTCCCCCGCCGCGCCCGCGTCGTCATCACTGCTGTCGTCACCGATATCGCTCTCCACGTTGACATCGTGGGTTGAACTCCTGTTGGGCGTTCCTCCGTTCAGATTCTCTTCGCCGGTGTCCCCGTGCTCTTTGGTATCGTTTCCCTCTCCGTCGACTCCTTCTCCCTCTTGTCCGCTATTGTCGCTATCGTCGTCGTCCGCCTCCTCCTCTTCCTTGCCGTCCTCCTCCCCTTCCCCGCTGTCGCTACCGGAGGAGCTGCTGCTTCCGTAGCTGTTGTCCCGCCCTTCCCGCTGCATGCGTCTTGCCACGACCGCTGCCGCGAGGTCCTTGTCTTCGCCGCTCCCGCCCGCCTCCAGCGCAGACAAGAGTTTCTTGTAGCTCGCAAGCCCCGCGTCAAACCCACCCTTGGCCTCCTCTTCCTCCTCCTCCTCTTTGCCCCCTGCCACGTTGTCATCGTCGCTACTGCTGTAGTACAAGACGTGTCGACCGGCGGCGGCGGCGGGAGGCTTATCGCCGCGAGGACGTTTCTTCCGCTTCCGCTTCTTGGGCTTGGTGACGAGGACCTCGGCCGGGTCCGTGGTGTTGGACTGGCTCAGCCGCTGCCGTTGCTCGCGGTCCTTGGTTCTGTTGAGCTCCATGATCTTCATCCGTCGCTGTCGGTCTTGGGCCTCCTGCTCGTTGGTTGCACGACGGAGACGCCAACAAAGGTCAAGAGCGCTCGCCGATTTCGGTTAAAGACAACACACGCCTCACGTTGATGCTGGGCGTGGGCGTGGATATAACAGCCAACGGCGAGATGCATATGCATACGACGTTCCAAGCGTCAAACTGTTATTGGTAGCTAGTTATTGGACAATTAGAGCCGGTGTCCCCGACGGTAAATCTGAGATACAGCAGCAGCAGTCCAAACGTCAAAGGAGTGCCTGCCACAGTATTAAGAAGTGATTATAATTAAGAGCTCCACAGCAGGGCAACAGCGAACTCATGCACACACTCAAGTTAGCGTCCTGGCTAACGAGGAAAGCGGCCTCTCTTGGCCTGCTTGTCCGTGGTGCTTCGAGCCTCGCCGACCGCACATCATCCACACACCATTTCGCAACATCGTCTACGTTTCAAATTGCGGGAGCTGATTCGAGTTGCTGCAGGGGGAGCTCCTACATACCCAAGGCGGAGGTTCGCAAGTTCACATCGCCCTCATCTGCCTCTACTACATGTATCTCTACTGGCTACACGGTGGCGGCAGCAGTGGCTCCGCACCTATGCCTACCTGTGTCAAGCGTCTCTTCTTCTTGACTGGCTGGCCCTGCTGCTCGTCCTCCCGACCGGCGCCTTCATCTCCCCATTTGGAGGCGCCGCCGCCGCCGCCCTTCTTGCCCTTCTTTCCCTTGCCATTCTTCCCACCCTTCCCCTTGCTCAAACCTTTCCCTCGATTTCCCATGGCCGCGAGGTCAGCGGTGCAGCAGTTTGAACCAGCAGGTTACGTAACCATGCAGCACATGATGCTCAATAACACCCTCCCCCCCCCCCGGGGGCTCCGTGTACCCGTATGTTCCAACAGGTACCCCCTGACATTATGACGTGTTCCTGTTTTGCTATCTTGAGCAGCGAGACCACGGTGTTGAGGTGAAAGCAGGAAGGTGTGTTCGTCAAGCTGCGTCTTGTAACCAAGCAGGCATATTCAGCTCGCGTGCCTGCTGGGAAGTGCCCCCTGCTGTGCTAGCCGCGGCAAGCCGTAGTTCCTATGAGCTCTAGTTCGTAACGCTTTATTTGCTCGACCAACCGAAAGCGAACCTCAACAGGTAGCAGGCTTCTCGCTGCCGAGAGGAATGCGACTATCGCTGCATGCAGCTGCAGCAGTTCTGAGCGTTGGTGCCACTTCAGCCCAGGCCGGGAGTGCAGAATGGACCAGGCGAAGAGGGGGGAGCCCAACCGGAGATTGCTTCGCGTTCGTGGGTGCAGGAGCAGGAGCAGGAGCAGGGATGGGCATAAGAAGGGGGGATGGCATGCTGTTGACAACACCAGCTGCAGCAGCGATAAGCTTGCGCCGGCGGCGATCAGGGCAGCAGCATGCCTTGTTGATGCAGCTCAACATGCTCCTGTATGATGACAACGAGTCCATGGAATACAAGCGCCGGACCGTGACTCGAGGCATCTTTGGCGAGCACGAGAAGGAGGTGTCGGGTTGGATGAAGACGTTCAAGAGCTTGGACGGGCCGGAGATGCCATTCGACGAGATGTGCGACATGATGGACCGAGGAGACTCGATGCTCAGGGCTAGCAAGGAGAGCAAGGAGAAGAACATGAGGAGATATAGGCACTTCGACCTCAGGGTAAGCAAATAACGTGGGTGGTCGGGTACAACTCGTCACGCTGAGTTATTGGGTTGGCCTGGTTTTCTCGGCCATCTGTTTCTCATGTCGTTCGATTCCGAGGAAAGGCGGCGAGATTACAATGTACAACTAGCAGCGTACCTCCCCGCTAGGATTACAGTGGGAACGTGCCCGCCGTGTGTCACGCCACGCGCACGGCAAACTCATTGTCGTCGAACCTCTTGCAGCGGTGAACCAAGGTCATACGAACGATCAGCGACAGTTTCCGTCGGCAACGCTGGTACATACAATGTCTTTGCTGCGGAAGATTATGCCGACATGCCGACAGATAGGCGAACGCTTCGAACTGACAGCATCCCGCACGTGCCTCTGTAGATCGACGGGCACGCTGCTGCAGTACGAGAGATTAGGGTGGCATGTGCACTCGACAGTGGACAGAGTTGAAGCACCTAGTACCGGGTAACCCTTCGCGAGTCACACAGCAGTGATGGCCGGTGTTCTAGCCGCGCGTCCTGCTGGGGGTACTCCCTACATCTGTATTTCCTCCCATACGAAAGGTGTCGCGTGATGCGCATGATAAGGTTACCGCTGTGGCGCTGCAGGTAGTGACAGCTTTGTTAAAACGATGGTCCTCAAGTATGCATACGCGCTGTTTGTTCGCCCTTTTCCAATCAGCCACGTTAGACTTTAAGGTTCAACCAGTCATAAAAGAAGCACCGTGAGATGCCCCGATCTGTTGCTGATTTCATGCTCGATGTGCCTCAAGCCCTTTGTACAGCAGTACAGTACAGGAGTAGTTCGATGCCTTGCCTCCCTTCAGTCGCGATGGCCTACTGTACCCTCGTGCCTCCTACACCCTACACTACACCCTACAGCTTCGCCGTCGTCGGCAACATGAACATGAGAACATAACATGAGAACACATGAGAACATGAACATGAGAACATGAACATGAGAACACGAGAACATGAGATCGTCAGCAACGATCACAGACCGAAGCCCCTGGTGTTGCTCTCTCTCTCTTCCTAACGCCCATGTACTGACAACAACATCGACCTTGGTAGCCATCTGGCAGCATCACGCTTTTCTGTTTTCCTTAGGCCTCGTCCAAGGCCCGACTAAGCCGAACCACCATTCCAACCTCAATGCGTTCGCGTGGTGTCCTCGATTATTCTTTCCCTCGTCTTCCTGCAGCGGAACCCGGAACTTCTCACCAGAACCGAAGAAATTGAGTTGGGGAGAAAAGTTCAAGAGCTATTGCGGTGGGAACGTGTGCGGATGTTTCTCGAGGTGAGCAAACACACGCTGTTAGCCCTTGCTAATTGATGTTGTCTGGATGCTGCACATGGAGCCTCTGGGCGTTTCGTTTGGTTTCGGGATAACGCGTGAGTTCTTTGGATCTGGATTTTCTATTCACCATGCCCTACAAACCCATCCTCCTCGCCTTCCGAACACCTTGCATGTGTTTTTGTCCCTTCTCGCGACACCCCTTGTGCGCCCGCGGTTCAAACGTGTGTTTGCTTTTTTTTATATATTCTTGCCGGCAGTTGCAGTTGGGTAGAGCAGCGACAATGGAAGAGTGGGCAGCGGAGCTGGCTACCATGGACGGGGTCGAAGGGCTAGAGAGGGAGATTGGTATCATGAAGGCGGCGAGAGATCGGATGATCTCGTGCAACCTTCGCTTGGTGGTGCACATCGCCAGGAGGAAGTTCTACAAGGGGGCATCGGGCACGCTTAAGGTGCTCGCGTTGTTGGTGATTTTCGCCGTTAGATGATGATAACTCATCACATCCCTCCCGGTGACGATCATTTGTCCCCCTCCCGACCATTAACAACCGTACCCCTGGTACGATGTAGTACAATGTAATACAATGTAGTACAATGTAAATGTATCTCGATGGCGCTCGTTCCCATTCCGGTAGCCCAAAAAGTGTCATCTCGTCGAAATCCCGTTCGATGTCTTGGTGTTGTCTTGGTGTTCTGACGGGTGGGAAGCTGTTCGTCACGTGAACTACCCAACTATTCCGATGGAGAGCGGGGCGTTCCTCCCAAAGTAGACAGGGGGCTATCATGCGGGCATCCACCCACCATGACCCTACCTTGAGAGGAATTATTTCTCATCATTTCTTGTTTGTTGATAAGTGAGCGGGGGGGGGGGGGGGGGGTACTCATAGTCGTGCATGCCGTAGTCGTTTGACCATTGACCTCGCATCCCTACAAAGCCGGGACGGAGCACGCCGGGTTCTCACCGGACCAGGCTCTCACATCACCAAGCGCGAAGCGCCGTGAGGTATTTGGCGAGTCGCATGAAGGGTGAGCTGCATCCTGCTAAGGGTGTTCGGCATCTTGTGCTTACTTCCTTGCGTACGGATGACAGCTACGTATGACTTAATTTATTTTCTGGTGCTTTCACTTCCAGAGACAGTTGTAAGCACTGTGTAACTGCCTCGAGGGTGCTCATCCCCCGTTGCGCGGAGTGAGGTTTCTCGACCCCGCACAACATGATCTACTCGACCACCATTATGGTTACCGCCAAAAAAAAAAACGAGGTAAAAAAAAAAAAACGGTAACCTGGTTGCCGAGTTCACGAAGCGAATTGGCTTGTTTTACGACGTCGTTGCCAAGCGACGAAAACCCAATCCCGATGGCAAACACCGAGTGGGGGGCTTGTTTTACAAAGTCGTTGCCAAGCGACGAAAACCCAAACCCCGATGGCAAACACCGGGGGGGGCGGCTTGTTTTACAACGTCGTTGCCAAGCGACGAAAACCCAACCCCGATGGCAAACACCGGGGGGGGGGGGGGGGGGGGGGGGG